GGGCTCGCAGCTTGGGACTTTTCACACAGCACTGCACACCTGAGGAGCGTCTACACCCTCGCTCCCTCTCACGTCTCTGTTCAGTGTTTCCACCATATTCTCGAGCTCAACAGCAATGTGTTTTGGGCCTAAGCAGACATAACACCGTCCAAGTTTTCTCAGTTTATCCTTGCGTGCACTTACTGTATGGTCGGAACAGTTCTCTGGTTTGTGGGATCGCTACTGTCACAATACACACAGGTCCGGGGCACGGCACTGGCGGTGTGCAAGGCGGTCGCTGACGGGACACTCCACTTTCTGGGTTTATCGCAGGCGTAGGATGGCTTACCCACATTCTTGTGTTGTGGGCTCGGATCCTTCGATGCATGGCCTGGTCTGGTAAGCTGAAGCGCTCGTTCTCTGCTTTGCACCTCATTTTGTAGAAACTGAATCAACTCTGGCACCTTCCATTCGTTGGTCACGTTTGGTTGGCGGGTGTAGGCGAGTGCGATGTCCTCCGGAATGAGCTGCAGTAGCACTGGACAAAGCAGGCAGCCGTACGTGTCACTCTGGACTCCAAGTGACTCCAAACTGCGTATCTGGATCTCACATTCATCATACAAGTGCCTCAAAGCTGTAACATCAGAAGATCTTTTAACAGGGGTTAAGTTCAGTAGTTTGGACATATGGGCACTTATCACAATGTCCTTTCTCCCAAAGCGGCTCTGGAGTAACTCTATTGCAGCATCGTAGTTGGCATCTGTCATTGTAAGCCCTGCAATAGTTCTAGCAGCTGCTCCAGTCAGGTAGGATCTGAGGTAAGTAAACTTGTCTGTCTTGCATAGTACCTCATTTCTGTGAATAGCTGTTTCATATTGTGACCAGAATTCCTGCCACTGGCTTATTTCACCATCGTACTTTGTTATCATTAGCTTAGGAAGTTTAACAGTTTGTCTGGACTGTGATGTAAATGAACCACTGCTCCCATCGCTCACGCGCACTCTCGGGGTGTCTCTGATGGTTTCCTGATGCCCGATGGTGGTGGTGGCGCGAACCTTCCAAGTGAGAACGCGGTCCATGTAATCCATTGTGCTTGAAATCTCCGTGTCCAGATCGTCCGTGGGAGTCACATCTTCTATGCCCTTGTCCAAGTCCAATAAACTGTCCTCCTTCGATGATAAAACTGCCAGAAACTCACGTAGTTTGTCACTATCTGGTCTTTCCTTCCCCACCTCGTCCTCTAGGCGGGTTAACAGCCTCGTCGTAGCGGCGCGAATAGTCGCCCGCTTCCTTTTCAGCCGCTCGAGTCCCTCCGTCATGACGGCTGCAAACCTAGCCGTTAGCTGTTCACTTCGTTCGAAAAAGTTCTTAAAGTCCTTACATCCCGGGTTTCGGCACCAAATGATACGTAGATACAGCTTCTATAATCATGACGGAGGCTCGTTAGTTTTACTGAACTTTCTTGTTCAGGTTTATTGAACAAAAACACAGCGGCAAGAGACAACTTCTGCTGATTCACATTTTAGTTAAGATGGAGTCATAAAACTAGAACAGATCCTGTTTTCACCCTTCACAATAAAACACTTCCGTTTCTTCAAATTAAAACCATATGGCACTTTTTTACCGTACCTTGTAATTTGGAAATACGATTATAATTATGTTACAACTAATAATCAATGTCTAGAACTAAATAAGTCACAACAGTGACGAAGCTTGAAATGTGAACGATTACACCACATCAGTCTGAAGTCTGTGAGAGATTAGCCGCTTTACTTGACACATGCTAGCTTCAACTAACAAACTAGCATTAGCAAAACTGGACTGCCGTAGCCTTACTCTTACCGGCTGTGTCTGAGTCTTATACAACACCTTTTCATCTGATGTTCTCTTCTTTGCCACAACAGGCGAGTCGCAAACGTGGAATTAGAACTTTGAAGGTTTTCAGTTCAGCCATTGTAGACGTTTTAGAAAATCTGCCTGTGTCAAGATATTTAGGATTTATCTTTTAAAGCTACATCTGGTCCATTCCTATTTGAAAACACATGATAACTTCACTACTTTTGAGCTTAGGGACGTTTCCCACAGGATTTTAAACATTGCGTCAGTTTTCCGGGGCTTCAGCCAAATTAAAATTGATCTGACAAAATATAGGGACTCGTAATTGAAGCTGCATATTTCTTCATTCATTGAGAGCCCCACAGATGTTATCATCCACCTGCATCAGATTTATATTGTTACGTTCTATTTAACATGAAACAGGAGCCAGCGTGTCCTGCCAAGAACCTGCAGTGAGAACTTCAAGTGCGCATGGAGCTTTAGCCTCATTTTATTTAGCTTTCCTCATTTTTGGTCCTAGCAAATCCTAAAAATCAGGAAGTAACGTATAAAGCAAGTTGTATTAAAACTTATTTCTTCCTTCCACAGACTATGTTAGTCCAGATGTGGTATCCCATCACTGTTGCCACCGTTTCTAGAGAGTTCAAGAAGATCCTGGCCAAGCATCTCCGAGCCACATCTGGGAGTGTGGAAGGCCTGAACCAGAAGCTCCATGACTTCGGCTACAGGGGGGTCTCTTCACAGGAGGTCAGGGGCTTCCCATTGGCAGATTTAATGCAGTTAAATAGTTAAAGATTCATGATTGTTTTTGGTCTTATTTTAGTCTGCGGCTCTAGGGGGCGCTGCTCACCTGGTGAACTTCTGCAGCACAGACACAGTGGCTGGACTGTTGATGGCACAGCGCTACTATTCCTGTCCCATGGCTGGATTCTCCAACCCAGCAGCAGAGCACAGGTACTTTTACTCTGGACTTTTACATATGAAACAATTCATGCTTATTGTTTAAGTGTAGCGTATTTGGATGCTTAAAATAAAGTCAAATATGTAAATGAGCTTTTTCACACTAAAGGGGACAAAAGTGTGACAGAAGCCAAAAATTAGATTTTAATGATATATATTATGTTTTTATTGAAATCCCTCTTCTGTCCATTAGTAGAACTAGAAGAGAACTGTTTTATAAATGTCTTCTTGATCCACTTGGTTTGGACCATGAATCCTCTCTGCTCTGGTCCGGACCAGTGTAAAACCATGAATCCTCTCTGTTCTGGTCTGGACCAGTGTAAAACCATGAATCCTCTCTGCTCTGGTCTGGACCAGTGTAAAACCATGAATCCTCTCTGTTCTGGTCTGGACCAGTGTAAAACCATGAATCCTCTCTGCTCCGGTCTGGACCAGTGTAAAACCATGAATCCTCTCTGCTCTGGTCTGGACCAGTGTAAAACCATGAATCCTCTCTGCTCTGGTCTGGACCAGTGTAAAACCATGAATCCTCTCTGCTCTGGTCTGGACCAGTGTAAAACCATGAATCCTCTCTGCTCTGGTCTGGACCAGTGTAAAACCATGAATCCTCTCTGCTCTGGTCTGGACCAGTGTAAAACCATGAATCCTCTCTGCTCTGGTCTGGACCAGTGTAAAACCATGAATCCTCTCTGCTCTGGTCTGGACCAGTGTAAAACCATGAATCCTCTCTGCTCTGGTCTGGACCAGTGTAAAACCATGAATCCTCTGCTCTGGTCTGGACCAGTGTAAAACCATGAATCCTCTCTGCTCTGGTCTGGACCAGTGTAAAACCATGAATCCTCTCTGCTCTGGTCTGGACCAGTGTAAAACCATGAATCCTCTCTGCTCTGGTCTGGACCAGTGTAAAACCATGAATCCTCTCTGCTCTGGTCTGGACCAGTGTAAAACCATGAATCCTCTCTGCTCTGGTCTGGACCAGTGTAAAACCATGAATCCTCTCTGCTCTGGTCTGGACCAGTGTAAAACCATGAACCCTCTCTGCTCTGGTCTGGACCAGTGTAAAACCATGAACGCTGAACTGCAGCAACATCTCAGGCAGAAATAAGCAAGAAACGTAACAATTGTAAAACACAAACCAACAGTTTCAGAGACAGTCAGGACTCGCTGCTGTTTCCAGAACATTCTAAAGTAAAATGTTTTAGCTTCTAGTTTTCCTGTGCCAGTTCAGAGAAAGCATCTACAGTCCTGTGGGTTCACTTACCCAGGGTGCCCTGGGGGTCCGCTGAAGAGAGGAGGGGGCGGAACTGGATGACTCGGTCCAAGCATCCGCCAGTATTTCAGCCAGTGGCATGAAATGTGAAAAGTGGAATAGAGTATTTAATTAGAACATATTCAAAGAGAAGCAGAAGGGTCTGTGATCTAACCCTAACGCACTGACAGGAAACTGAAGTGAGCACGAACACAAACACTGACGTTAGTTTCACCTCGTGTTTGACCTCTCTTTAGTACCATCATATCCTGGGGCAGGAGTCGAGAGAAGGATGCCTTTGAGCAGGTCCTGGATCAGTTCAGCTCAGGACCTGTGTCCGTGGTGAGCGACAGCTACGACATCTTCAACGCCTGTAAACACATCTGGGGAGACGAGCTGAAGGAGCGGGTCATGGAGCGCAGCCAGGACTCATGTCTGGTCATCCGGCCAGACTCCGGAGACCCCGCTGAGACACTTATTGAGGTGCTTAACAAAATATTTGGGTTATTTATGAACTACTGAGATAATTATAGCTCTCTTTGCATTGCTTTTCAAATATTTTAAAAAGCCTTCTTTCCCCTCAGGTCATCAAGATACTGGAGGATTGTTTTGGTTGCTCTAAGAACTCTATGGGATACAAAGTTCTACCATCTTACCTGCGCATCATCCAAGGAGATGGTATAGACCTCAGCTCTGTTAATGAGGCAAGCTGCACCGTTTATTAACTCACTCCTGACACATGTTTTATCAAAGAGATTATCCAAAAAACCCAAATATACAGATATCTGCTGTATTCTTAGAGAAGGGGGAAGCTGCAGGATTTTGAAAGTATTGGCCATATTTAAAAGAACAGCATGTAATGGGCTCTAGTGTTCTAATAAAGTCATTATAATCACAATCCAAATGTTGTCAGAATCTTCTAAGCACAGAGACCGGTGCACTTCACCTGCTGGGGTTTAGCTATTTAAGGTGCATTATGTAAAAATCTATAAAAACAGTGGGGATTTCAGACAAAGTGTGAAGTCAGTCTCGCAGTGGGCTTGAACCCACGTCCTTCAGGCTCAAATCCCAATGTAGATTTATCCCTAAAACACTACAAATAAATGAAATACTGTTTGATATTTCACTGCGGGAACTACAGTACGTGACAAAACAGACGGAAGCCTCTGAAAACTCATGAATAATATTTTGTTTTGCAGATTCTCCAGAAGTTGAGTGAAGAAGGCTGGAGCGCTGAAAACGTTCTCTTCGGATGTGGAAGTGCTCTGCTCCAGAAGCTGAACAGAGACACGCTGAGCTGTGCCTTTAAGTGCAGCTACGTGGAGACCAACGGCAAAGGCGTACGACACACACTTATTTATGCTCTTTTATTCACCTTCGGATTTTTTGGTCGATAATTATGACTGTTTCTGTCCTATGATTTTTTTTTTTGAAAGTTAGGTTAAGGTAGTAAGTTAATTTGGTGTTAAAGTAGCAATATGTAAGATTTTCATGTCAAGCCATCATTAAAGGGCCCTAATCTGTCATCACTAAAGGGCCCTAATCTGTCATCATTAAAGGGCCCTAATCTGTCATCATTAAAGGGCCCTAATCTGTCATCACTAAAGGGCCCTAATCTGTCATCATTAAAGGGCCCTAATCTGTCATCATTAAAGGGCCCTAATCTGTCATCATTAAAGGGCCCAAATCTGTCATCATTAAAGAGCCCTAATCTGTCATAATTAAAGAGCCCTAATCTGTCATCATTAAAGGGACCTAATCTGTCATCATTAAAGAGCCCTAATCTGTCATCATTAAAGGGCCCTAATCTGTCATAATTAAAGGGCCCTAATCTGTCATCACTAAAGGGCCCTAATCAGTCATCATTAAAGGGCCCTAATCTGTCATCATTAAAGAGCCCTAATCTGTCATCATTAAAGGGCCCTAATCTGTCATCATTAAAGAGCCCTAATCTGTCATCATTAAAGGGCCCTAATCTGTCATCATTAAAGGGCCCTAATCTGTCATCATTAAAGAGCCCTAATCTGTCATCATTAAAGAGCCCTAATCTGTCATCATTAAAGAGCCCTAATCTGTCATCATTAAAGGGACCTAATCTGTCATCATTAAAGAGCCCTAATCTGTCATCATTAAAGGGCCCTAATCTGTCATAATTAAAGGGCCCTAATCTGTCATCACTAAAGGGCCCTAATCAGTCATCATTAAAGGGCCCTAATCTGTCATCATTAAAGAGCCCTAATCTGTCATCATTAAAGGGCCCTAATCTGTCATCATTAAAGAGCCCTAATCTGTCATCATTAAAGGGCCCTAATCTGCTTTAATTAAAGGGCCCAAATCTGTCATCATTAAAGGGCCCTAATCTGTCATCATTAAAGGGCCCTAATCTGTCAAAAGGCGTTAAGTAGTTCAGAGATATTTGAATTTCTAAATTACTTTTTTCAGCCCCTAAATCTTGTTATTGTTTTCATTTCGATGTCCCGCCCTCCACCGTTTCACCAAATCAGAAAGTCTGTGATCCGGGTTGCCAGAATACCGCGTGGAGCAAATCATTAACGACAAAACAAGGAATAAAACCAGGATTTCTATCTTTGTGAAAAAGGTGTTGGTTATAGATTTGTTTTTGACAAAGCTCTTGTCTATTCAGCTGTTATGGTCCCAGCTGGATTCGTCTGCATATCTGGCAACCTGAGTCAGGGAGAGTGGGAGAGGCTGCAGTACCACTTTTGGCCCCACGTTTACAAACTGCTCCTTTAAAATTCACATACGTTTCATAAGAACTTAAATCTAAATCGAATATCTTCCACGCACCACTCACTTTTGTCTTTGTTGCAGATGGACGTATACAAGCAGCCGGTGACCGATCCTTCTAAAGAGTCGAAGCGGGGCCGGCTTTCTCTGAGAAGAAATTCTGGTGGTTTAATTGAGACTGTGGAGAGCGGTGCCGGGAAACCAGAGGAGGTTTGTCTCACATATGTCATCATCAGTTAGTAAATATATGTTAGTGCCTTTTTATTCTCAACAAACATTAGGTCTTTTACAGCCGCAGTGTGTAACGTTTTCGTGTCAAGTCCTCATTAAAGGGCCTTTATCTGTCATCATTAAAGGGCCCTAATCTGTCATCATTAAAGGGCCCTAATCCGTCATCATTAAAGGGCCCTAATCCGTCATCATTAAAGGGCCCTAATCTGTCATCATTAAAGGGCCCTAATCTGTCATCATTAAAGGGCCCTAATCCGTCATCATTAAAGGGCCCTTATCTGTCATCATTAAAGGGCCCTAATCTGTCATCATTAAAGGGCCCTAATCTGTCATCATTAAAGGGCCCTAATCTGTCATCATTAAAGGTCCCTAATCTGTCATCATTAAAGGGCCATAATCTGTCATCATTAAAGGGCCCTAATCTGTCATCATTAAAGGGCCCTAATCCGTCATCATTAAAGGGCCCTTATCTGTCATCATTAAAGGGCCCTAATCTGTCATCATTAAAGGGCCCTAATCTGTCATCATTAAAGGGCCCTAATCTGTCATCATTAAAGGGCCCTAATCCGTCATCATTAAAGGGCCCTTATCTGTCATCATTAAAGGGCCCTAATCCATCATCATTAAAGGGCCCTTATCTGTCATCATTAAAGGGCCCTTATCTGTCATCATTAAAGGGCCCTAATCTGTCATCATTAAAGAGCGACTAAACACCTGTGCCCAGCCTGACTCCGCCCACTTGAAGATTTGAACATTTTCTCTTAAAAGGGCATTGCCTGGAGGACCATGGGACAGGAAGGGGGGGCTTAGAGTTGGGCGTGGTCTGGGCTGTGATTGACAGCTCACTTGTCACACACACAAAAACAGACAGTTGTCATTGCTGCTTAAAGCAATAGTTTACACCAGAAAGTCTCATTCCTTTGTTTACACACTAAAATAATTGTAGAGCTACACACCTGAATCTAATCAACACAATAATCTCAGAATTTCTCATTTTTAACCACTAGATGTCGCCAGAATACTCCAAACTGCTGCTGGGGCGTGTGAGAGTTGGATGGGTTCATATCACTAGCTCTGACAGACTGACGTCACACACACCAACTGATGTCACACACACCAACTGACGTCACACACACCAACTGACGTCACACACACCAACTGACGTCACACACACCAACTGACGTCACACACACCAACTGACGTCACACACACCAACTGACGTCACACACACCAACTGACGTCACACACACCAACTGACGTCACACACACCAACTGACGTCACACACACCAACTGAAGTCACACACACCAACTGACGTCACACACACCAACTGACGTCACACACACCACCTGACGTCACACACACCAACTGACGTCACACACACCAACTGACGTCACACACACCAACTGACGTCACACACACCAACTGACGTCACACACACCAACTGACGTCACACACACCAACTGACGTCACACACACCACCTGACGTCACACACACCAACTGACGTCACACACACCAATTGACGTCATAGAGAATTTCAGAGTCAATGAGAGGCCAGAAACAAATTCAAATGTAGTACTACCAAAAAAGGTTGAGAGGGCGCCACACAGACGTTTTTTGGCTCAAAAGTGAGATTTTATCTAATTTGAACTAAAATGTCAAAAAAATGACCAGGATATGTAGACAGCACTACAATTAACATATTTATGCAGTTTATGAGTTAAAAAAAAGTTGATTTGGTGTTTAGTCGCTCTTTAAAGGGCCATAATCTGTCATCAAAAATATTTGAAATTTTGAAATTAGTTTTAGCCCCTAAATCTTGTTATTGTTTTCATTTCGATGTCCCGCCCTCCACCGTTTCACCAATCAGAAAGTCTGTGATCCGGGCGCCAGAACTCACCACGTGGAGCTAATCTCACTGGTAAAGTACCATGTGGCGCAGAACTAAAAAAGGTCTCGTTATGATTCTCAAATCATTAACGACAAAACAAGGAATAAAACCAGGATTTCTATCTTTGTGAAAAAGGTGTTGGTTATAGATTTGTTGTTGACAAAACTCTTGTCTATTCAGCTGTTATGGTCCCAGCTGGATTCGTCTGCATATCTGGCAACCTGAGTCAGGGAGAGTGGGAGAGGCTGCAGTACCACTTTTGGCCACATTCTTACATACGGCTCCTTTAACTGCACGACCAGATCATGGATCTATTATAAAAACTTACTAGCTTGTAGCTGAATAACTCACATGCTCAGGGGATTCTCGTGGTACTGCAGACTGAACCAGACTGAACCAGACTGAACCAGACTGAACCAGACTAAATTCACGTGGGCTACCCGGATATTTTCCCCATAGAACTCAATGTATATTAAAACAGCTCGACCTCAGCTGACAGAGAACCTGACAGAGAACCTGACAGAGAACCTACAGCTTTAATAACGGTTGCATTTTGTGGGGATTTTAGTGTTCCTTGTCATCCTGAACTTTTTTTCTTCTTAAATCCTTCGGTTTTGTTTAAATCCACACTTTAGTGCCACAAACTCTGCTCGTCTGGCTCTGGCTCTAACTCCCGCTCTGATGAACTGCTCTGATTGGTCAGAGCCGAGCCCCTCTGTGCACGTGCGTGAGACCCTCTGTGCACGTGCGTGAGACCCTCTGTGCACGTGCGTGAGACCCGGTGTGAGACCCACACACGCGTGTTTGACGCAATGCATTATGGGAGATCATCCACTGCACAGAACCGGGAGGACCAGACGATGCCCAAATACAGGCGAGTTTCCCATAGATCTTTGAGAGTTTCTCATAGATCTTTGAGAGTTTCCCATAGATCTTTGAGAGTTTCTCATAGATCTTTGAGAGTTTCCCATAGATCTTTGAGAGTTTCCCATAGATCTTTGAGAGTTTCTCATAGATCTTTGAGAGTTTCCCATAGATCTTTGAGAGTTTCCCATAGATCTTTGAGAGTTTCCCATAGATCTTTGAGAGTTTCCCATAGATCTTTGAGAGTTTCCCATAGATCTTTGCGAGTTTCCCATAGATCGACTTCCGCTAATCTTTCAGCCCCCATGCCGTCACAAAGCGCCACTGAGCACAACCATTCATTTGAATAGGGCGCCATCTTGCATCGCCGCGGCTTGGACCAGATCAAAAACCTGTAGTGTCCGCGAATAACTCATAGTGAATTTGTTTCTAGTCTTGCTACCTCCGTGACCGTGTGACCCATGTCTGTGTCGTGTGTCTGTGCAGGATCTGCTTGTGACTGTGTTTGAAAATGGCGTCCTCCTTTGTGAATATTCCTTCGACGAGATTCGAAAGAATGCTCGGCTTAAGGACCTTGACCTTAGCTCCACAATGTACAACGAGAAGGATCTACTGGAGAAACAAGTCCTGAATGGAGTGCACTGACGTGGGCCTGGGACGGTGGTCGTTTCCACAGTCGGCCACATCCGGACGGTTTCTGGAGGACGCCATGTTTTTGCAGCAGGAAAGCAACATGAGCTCCTCTTCAGTCCTCACACGGAAGATATAAGAGCAGGTCTAAGAGCAGGTCTAAGAGCAGGTCTAAGAGCAGGTCTAAGAGCAGGTCTAAGAGCAGGTCTAAGAGCAGGTCTAAGAGCAGGTCTAAGAGCAGGTCTAAGAGCAGGTCTAAGAGCAGGTCTTAGAGCAGGTCTAAGAGCAGGTCTAAGAGCAGGTCTAAGAACAGGTCTAAGAACAGGTCTAAGAACAGGTCTAAGAACAGGTCTAAGAGCAGGTCTAAGAGCAGGTCTAAGAGCAGGTCTAAGAACAGGTCTAAGAGCAGGTCTAAGAGCAGGTCTAAGAGCAGGTCTAAGAGCAGGTCTAAGAGCAGGTCTAAGAGCAGGTCTAAGAACAGGTCTAAGAGCAGGTCTAAGAACAGGTCTAAGAACAGGTCTAAGAGCAGGTCTAAGAGCAGGTCTAAGAGCAGGTCTAAGAGCAGGTCTAAGAGCAGGTCTAAGAGCAGGTCTAAGAGCAGGTCTAAGAGCAGGTCTAAGAACATTCCAATCATGTCATGCTGCTTCTGGGGACCAAACAAATATATTTTACAAAAGTTTTTCTAATGTTTCCCCTCACACGGGTTTTAATACCATCTTGTCGGACACTACTTGTCATAGATTTGTTGATAATCTGTCTCTGATGTTCTTTTAACACTCGTATTAAAAGGTGTTTTTGTTTTAAGTGTGAGCATGGTTTGTTTGACACGGTTCTACACACTGACACTGGTTACTGCAGCTTTACTCTCCACAAGATCATTCAGAGGATTGAGGGTCTCCTCGTGTTTCCTAAATATATATAATAATGTATTTTAATCTGCATCAAGAAATGAAATGACGCTTCTTTGTCGCCCTCTGCTGGACTTTTGAAGGTGGTGAAACATGGCCACTGTCTGAGAGCTGCCAGACCTGCCCCAGCCATAATACATCAGTAAGATGTCACAATGTAAAGGCTGAAGGCTGGTTAGTCAGACAAGCAAAATAATACAACATACAATTATTTCTGACTAAATGAATATGCTCCTCCAGAACAGACCGAAATCCCCTGATAATACACACATCACACGTACGTTTACTATATATCGACTTGGTCCTTGTTAGGTTTCACAGTATAATTCCATATATGGAAATATACATATAATATATATATATATATATATGTGTATATACATATTCTAACTTAGTGTAGAATAGGTAATATTCCTCATATATTCTGTTTCACTCATAAGACAAAGCCTTCACTTTAAGATTAAAAATATTGTTTTTATTTTTCACTTTCGTTTCCAGGATAAAGGACGTATGTCTCCGCCCATAACACCTGCAGGGTTTAGACTCATGGTCGAGTAGTTCTTCTTGAATTTGGTGATAAGTTTCCATTTCCCGTGTAGCCAGAGACGGGAAATAGAAAGTCAGAGTCAGAGGTAAAGTCAGAGTCAGAGGTGAGAGAGACGCAGCGGAGTCCTCACATGGTCCTCACCTGGTCCTCACCATGACCAACACCCTGAACCAACACTATGAGGAGAAAGTGCGTCCCTGCATTGACCTGATAGACTCTCTCCGCTCTCTGGGAGTGGAGCAGGACCTGGCTCTGCCCGCTATCGCCGTCATCGGAGACCAAAGCTCGGGGAAGAGCTCGGTGCTGGAGGCGCTCTCTGGAGTCGCGCTGCCCAGAGGAAACGGTGAGTTCGAGAGGCATCTAAATCCCTTCTATTGTACTACTATAGTATCTGTTGTACTACTATAAAACTATAGATAAGATAAGATAGAAGAAAATATTATTGAAGAAAATGACAAAATTGTCTGGGATGGACAGACAGAACATATGTTTTATTGTCGTAGACAAACGATCAAAAAAGTGTAAAGAAGAGGCAGCATCTGACGATAAACAGTGGTTTTATTGTCCTTTAGCACGACAGGTTCACAACAGACTGTATATATTAACGGACAGAGTCACGCCTATCTCCGCCGTTCTAACTAACGGATCACAATCATGTTCTCTGAAACTCTCTCTCGTCACTTTCTCTCTACTACTCGTGAGGCCCTCACTTCAACTCAAAAACAGGCGAACGCCACCTGGTGGCGCAGATGCTATTTCAATGTAATCAAACATTAAATACTGTGCCTACATCTAGTCTCAATAAGACGTTAAAAGTAAATTAAATAAAAGGTAAACATTAAATATTACAGGTCCAAATTTAAACAGTAAAGTGTCCTTTTCCCCACACATATTATATTATTCAGGAAGGATCAGAGCAGCTGCCATAGTATAATACTAGTAATATACTATAGTACTACTATAGTAGTACCATTAGTATATAACTGCAGGGTAGTACTACTATAGTACTATAGTACAACTATAGCTACTACAGTATTATACTACAGTACTATAGTATCTAGTAAGTGTATCTATACTATATACATCAATCCTGGATTTGTAAAAGATTAAGGTCAACATAATCTTGACCAAGTACTCGCCGACACCCACACAAAAAAACTCAGACTTAGGAAGTATTACTCACACTCAACTGTTTATTATTATTTTTGTGCATATTCCTGGATATTGATGTTTGTTTTGGAAAAGTAGGAATCGTGACGAGATGTCCTTTAGAGCTTAAGATGAAGAGAACGAAAGCAGGTCAGAAATGGAGCGGGAAAATTAAATACAGGGACTACAGTGAAGATCTGGGGAAACCTGCAGAAGTGGACGAGAAAATTAGAAAAGGTAAAGGCCCGAGACCTGTTTTCATTATTTATATTGACAACTTCTTTGTAAGCAGAACATGTGCTGAATGTGTCCACAGCTCAGGAGGTGTTGGCGGGTAAGGGCTGCGGAATCAGCCACGAACTGATTAGTTTGGCGATAGCCTCCCCTGATATTCCAGACCTGACACTGATCGACCTGCCTGGAATCGCCCGAGTGGCTGTCAAAGGCCAACCTGAAAATATTGGAGAACAGGTATTATGTGTTTTTTGTGTTGCCCAAAATGAAATCAAGATTTATAATGTTAGACTACTTCTTAAAAGCCTGTAAGTAACCAGAGCCCTAAAAACAAACTAATATGCAAAAAATAGCACATTTGTTGTGTGTTTAAATGTTTTTTTTGCTTGCATTTCTACAAATCTCAAAGGGTTTTTTATGATAATGTTGTTACTTGCAACAGTCCTACATGACAAAGTATTTAACAGATCCGTGTTCAAAAGAAGAGATTTGAACTTTCTCGAATGTTAAAATCTGTCAAATCAAATCTATTTATTTTGTATAATCCAAAATCACTGAGGCTGAAGACGGGTGAGGGATTGATGCAGATTTTCCACGGAGACGCTGCGACAGTAATAGGTCATAGTTTATATTGTGTCCTTTCGTTTCCACGGAGACGGTGTTTCAGGTGTAAACAATTGAGAAACAGCCTCCAGAGTGGAACAGAACAGAGACGCTGATGACCTCAGCACTTCGTACATTTGGACGCAGTAGAACGTAAACAACAATGGCGGAGGGTCGACTAATGCTACGTGTGCTTCGCGAACGGAGGAGGATTCTACTCTTTGTCCAAACCAAACCACAGCTGTAGTTTCACTATGGTCTCTCTCTGGCTGCAAGTTAGAACTACATAGTTTTCCGTCGTTGTGTAGACGCTGTGCTAGCCTGGTCTAAGCCATCCATAAACTCTGGTCCATGATCATTTCCTACATGTACGTCTGGTCTTACCATGTGTAAACTCTGGTCAATGATCATCTCCTACATGTACGTCTGGTCTTACCATGTGTAAACTCTGGTCCATGATCATTTCCTACATGTACGTCTGGTCTTACCATGTGTAAACTCTGGTCCATGATCATTTCCTACATGTACGTCTGGTCTTACCATGTGTAAACTCTGGTCCATGATCATTTCCTACATGTACGTCTGGTCTTACCATGTGTAAACTCTGGTCCATGGTCATTTCCTACATGTACGTCTGGTCTTACCATGTGTAAACTCTGGTCCATGATCATTTCCTACATGTACGTCTGGTCTTACCATGTGTAAACTCTGGTCCATGGTCATTTCCTACATGTACTTCTGGTCTTACCATGTGTAAACTCTGGTCCATGATCATTTCCTACATGTACGTCTGGTCTTACCATGTGTAAACTCTGGTCCATGGTCATTTCCTACATGTACTTCTGGTCTTACCATGTGTAAACTCTGGTCCATGATCATTTCCTACATGTACGTCTGGTCTTACCATGTGTAAACTCTGGTCCATGGTCATTTCCTACATGTACGTCTGGGTCTGATCCTAGTGGCTGCAGTTTCCTCGGTTGAATCCCCTCCGACCAATCAGAGAGCAGGGGAGGCGGGTGTTGTAGGTCGGCGTCAGTGACGTCAAGAGTTTGTGCTGAATTTGCTGGTTGTAGTTTGGAAGAGAATTCACACCTTTGTATTCTTTTCTCTTTTTTTTTTTACATCAGATCAAAACATTAATACGGACGTTTATCGCAAAACAAGAGACGATCAATCTGGTGGTGGTTCCTTGTAACGTGGATATTGCCACAACAGAAGCCTTGCAGATGGCCCAGGAAGTAGATCCAGAGAAAAAACGTACTTTAGGTAAACACAGTCGAATGAATGTCTCAAAAATAGATAACGCAACTATTAATGTTTTTGAGTTTTATGTTCCCAGGTGTTTTGACTAAACCAGATCTAGTGGACAAAGGGGCAGAGAAGACGGTTATTGAAATTGTGCAAAACAAGGTCATCGTCCTGAAGAAGGGCTACATGGTCGTCAAATGCAGAGGTCAAAAGGATATTTTAGACGATATGTCTTTAAACAAAGCACTGAAGAATGAACAGGCCTTCTTCAGAAACCACCAGGTCTTTAGGTAACTCACCCGTGCATCATGTTGAATGTATAATAACAATCTTATACTAACTTGCTCATGTGTGTTAGTGCCCTTTATGATGACAACAATGCAGGTGTTCCATTACTTGCCCGGAAACTTACCCTGGAGCTGGTGGAGCACATTAATGTAACAGAAATATACAAAACACATCTGTTTAACATGTTTCAAACAACTTCAAGAGATAAGTCTCTTTCACACTGTGTTTACAGATGAACCCTAACCCTAACCCTTTTTATATAACCTACTCACGTATTGATACACCTGCTGTATACACCTGTATACACCTGCTGTATACACCTGCACCTGCTATACACCTGCTGTATACACCTGCACCTGCTGTATACACCTGTATACACTGCTGTATACACCTGCTGTATACGCCTATATACACCTGCTGTATACGCCTATATACACCTGCTGTGTACGCCTATATACACCTGCTGTGTACGCCTATATACACCTGCTGTCTACACCTATATACACCTGCTGTATACACCTATATACACCTGCTGTGTACACCTATATACACCTGCTGTGTACACCTATATACACCTGCTGTATACGCCTATATACACCTGCTGTGTACACCTTTATACACCTGGTGTATACGCCTATATACACCTGCTGTATACGCCTGTATACACCTGCTGTGTACACCTATATACACCTGCTATATACACCTGCTGTGTACGCCTATATACACCTGCTGTGTACGCCTATATACACCTGCTGTATACACCTATATACACCTGCTGTATACACCTATATACACCTGCTGTGTACGCCTATATACACCTGTATACACCTGCTGTATACACCTATATACACCTTCTGTGTACGCCTATATACACCTGCTGTATACACCTGTATACACTTGCTGTATACAGGTGTATGTGGCAGTTATGCAGTCATTGTGATTAATCGTGCAGCCCTGCGACCAACTATTGATCGTGATTGTTGTGTTATTGTTAGCGATCTTTGCCTCAACTTGAAGATCAGATCAAAACCAAACTGGCTCAGACAAACTCAGAGATGGAGAGGTGTGGGGAGGGGCCGCCCGCAGGGTCTGCAGAAAGGATAAGTTTTCTGATTGATGTAAGTTTGTAATCATTTATAACGAGCCAGTTTAAAACCATAGCAGTGTTAATGTCGGCTGATTATCATGTGTTTTAGAAAGTCACAGCCTTCACTCACAACACCATCAGCCTCACCTCAGGAGAGGAGATTAACCATGAACGAAACCTCTATTCCACACTGAGGAAGGAGTTTGGGCTTTGGAAAAAAACCATTGAGGATTCTGGGATTACATGTAAGATCTAAAAGTATTCACTTAAAAAACCTCCTCACAATGTTTAAATGACGTCCAGACGAACACTTGAAGCTGAAGTACATTTACATGTGAAGAATATTCCACATTTGTACTTATTTATAAAGTGCCAAGTTGGACACAGAACAGCTGCTGCTGCTGTAGTATGTGTAGTATATATATAGTACCACTGTATAAAACCAATGCATTATTATTACTAATATTTCACTAACATTATCTTCGATGTCCTTTCAGTCAGTTTGAAGCTTGGCCAAGAGGTGGCCCATTATGATCGGATGTATAGAGGCAGAGAACTGCCCGGGTTCATTAACTACAAGATGTTTGAACGAGTGATTAAAGAGCAGATCAAGCTCCTGGAGGAGCCGGCCATCACCAAACTCCAACAAGTGTCAGGTGGTCACCAACATTCTCCACTAGTCTCATCTTCACATGGTGTCAGTGAACATGTTCTCTGTGTTCCTACAGAAATGATCAAGAAGGAGATGCTGAAGCTGGCACAGGAAAGCTTTGAGGGATTTCCAAATTTGATCAAAACAGCCAAAGTATTGTTTTATTTTACTACTTGGAAACATTTCTCCGTAACATAAGAAAACATGCACATTTTCTCACAGATCAAAATTGAGGACATCTGTGAGGACAAAGAGGCTGCAGCTGAGGCCATGCTGAGGACTCAGTTCCAAATGGAGATGATTGTCTACACACAGGACGGTAGATACGGCAAGAAGTTGGGGAAACGCAAGCGAACCGAGGCTAACGATGCTCCAAGTCAGTTAGGGTTCAGCGGCACCATCATCTCCATCAGCTCCAACAGCACCACCCTCAAAGAAATGATGACCCATCTGAAATCCTACTACAATGTAAGATGTCCTAAGATCATAATGAAATACATAATAATAATATATTACAGAAGCGTGTTAGGTTCACTTGTGAGTGTGTTTTTGCTGTAATCAGGTTATTTCATGATAATTTCATGTTCCTACAATGGATCACGTTATTTCATGATATAAAACTATCATGTTATTTCATGATACCAATTTATTATGAAATACAAGATCCTGTAGATGCAGAAGAAGAAGCTGTAGACGCCAGACCATGTGCCAGACCATGTGCCAGACCAGCGGTGCACCAGGAATGTGGAATGTTTCAGGCAAAGGACCCTCTTTGCTCCTTTCTGCGACAGCGACGGGTGTCAGAGGCTTCTTCTTCTTCTGCATCTACAGTATCTTGTTATTTCATAATAAATTGGTATCATGAAATAACATGATAGTTTTATATCATGAAATAATGTGATCCGTATTTTGTACGAACATTAAATTATCTTGAAATAACAAGAAATTATCATGAAATAACGTGATACCAGCAAAAAAATAATACTTGCAAGTGAATCCAACACGCTTCCGTATAATATAATATTAGAAATTAGCTATTATAAAAGAACAATTATACACACACACCATAAACACACACCATAAACACACACCATAAACACACATGCATACACACACCATAAACACACATGCATACACACACCATAAACACACATGCATACGCACACATGCATACACACACCATAAACCCACATGCATACGCACACCATAAACACACATGTATAAACACACACACTATAAACACACACCATAAACGCACATGCATACGCACACCATAAACACACATGCATACACACACCATAAACACACATGCATACGCACACCATAAACACACATGCATACGCACACCATAAACACACATGCATACACACACCATAAACACACACCATAAACACACACCATAAACACACATGCATACGCACACATGCATACACACACCATAAACCCACATACACACACATGTATACACACACACACCATAAACACACATGCATAAACACACACACTATAAACACACACCATAAACGCACATGCATACACACACCATAAACACACATGCATACGCACACCATAAACACACATGCATACACACACCATAAACACACACCATAAACACACATGCATACGCACACATGCATACACACACCATAAACCCACATCCATACGCACACCATAAACACACATGTATAAACACACACACTATAAACACACACCATAAACGCACATGCATACACACCATAAACACACATGCATACACACACCATAAACACACATGTATACACACACCATAAACCCACATACACACACATGTATACACACACACACCATAAACACACATGCATAAACACACACACTATAAACACACACCATAAACGCACATGCATACACACATGTATACACACACACCATAAACACACATGCATACACACACCATAAACACACATGCATACACACCATAAACACACATGCATACACACCATAAACACACATGCATACACACACCATAAACATACATGCATACACACACCATAAACACACATGCATACACACCATAAACACACATGCATACACACATCATAAACACACATGCATACACACCATAAACACACATGCATACACACACCATAAACACACATATACACACCATAAACACACATGCATACACACCATAAACACACATGCATACACCATAAACACACATGCATACACACCATAAACACACATGCATACACACCATAAACACACATGCATACACACCATAAACACACATGCATACACACACCATAAACACACATGCATACACACCATATACACACATGCATACACACCATAAACACACATGCATACACACCATAAACACACATGCATACACACCATAAACACACATGCATACACACCATAAACACACATGCATACACACCATAAACACACATGCATACACACCATAAACACACATGCATACACACCATAAACACACATGCATACACACACCATAAACACACATGCATACACACCATAAACACACATGCATACACACATCATAAACACACATGCATACACACCATAAACACACATGCATACACACATCATAAACACACATGCATACACACCATAAACACACATGCATACACACCATAAACACACATGCATACACACATCATAAACACACATGCATACACACCATAAACACACATGCATACACACCATAAACACACATGCATACACACACCATAAACACACATGCATACATACACCATAAACACACATGCATACACCATAAACACACATGCATACACACACCATAAACACACATGCATACACACACCATAAACACACATGCATACACACATCATAAACACATGCATACACACCATAAACACACATGCATACACACACCATAAACACACATATACACACACCATAAACACACATGCATACACACCATAAACACACATACACACACCATAAACACACATGCATACAAACACCATAAACACACATGCATACACACCATAAACACACATATACACACACCACAAACACACATATAAACACACATATACACACACCACAAACACACATGCATACACCATAAACACACATGCATACACACCATAAACACACATGCATACACACCATAAACACACATGCATACACACCATAAACACACATGCATACACACCATAAACACACATGCATACACACCATAAACACACATGCATACACACCCTAAACACACATGCATACACACCCTAAACACACATGCATACACACACCATAAACACACTCTTCTGTAAATAAAACCATATATTTGAAAATAACTTGTTGTGAGACAGATTGCGGGGCAGCGGCTGGCGGACTATTTGCCGATGGTAATCAGATACCAGCTGCTGCAGGAGTCGTCCGTGGAGCTGCAAAGACAAATGCTACAGTCACTTCAGAACAAAGAGGAAGTGGAGGATCTTCTGAAAGAGGACTGCACCATGGGAGAAACCAGGACCAGACTGCAGCAGCGCCACCACCGCCTCCACCAGGCCCGCTCCCTGCTGTCCAAGTTCTGAGAGCACACACACCATACACGCACCATACACACACACACACCATACACACACACACCATACACGCACCGTACACACACACCATACACGCACCATACACACACACCGTATACACACACACACACCATACACACACACACACACATCAAACACACACCAAACAGGCATGCTCCCTACTGTCAAAGTTTTGAGAGCATGCACACACCATACACACACATACACGCACACCATAAACACACGTACACACACCATACACACACACACATCAAACACACACCATACAGGCACGTTCCCTACTGTCAAAGTTCTGAGAGCATACATATACCATAAACACACACCATACACACACACACACACACACACACACACCATTTTTGGCTTGTTTGAGTATTTTGTCTTATTTCCAGTTTTTTCTTGTTTGGATAAAATATGTTTGTGATGCTATATTTTAAGAACAAAACTCCCAATGTTTAATGTTTAATAAATAAGTATATAATACTTGAATTGTGTGTTTGTAAACCAGAATAAAGTCATTTGGGGCTAGGATTATTTTCTCATTTTTTTGTTCTAACGACAGGTAATTGTTATTATATTAAGTATTATTTGACGTATTTTCCGTAAGGTAAAAGTTATTGACCCTTTTGGGAAATCTGCTCTCACTGTGGTTGTGTCCTTAGGCAAGACACTTCCCCCACATTAGAATGAGTCTGGTGTGTGTGTGAGTGGTTGGTGGTGGTGGTGGGAGGGGCCGATGGCACAGACTGATTAATAGATCTGTCAATTTTGAAATTAGTTTTAGCCCCTAAATCTTGTTATTGTTTTCATTTCGATGTCCCGCCCTCCACCGTTTCACCAATCAGAAAGTCTGTGATCCGGGCGCCAGAACTCACCGCATGGAGCTAATCTCACTGGTAAAGTACCATGTGGAGCTAATCTCATTGGTAAAGTACCATGTGGCGCAGAACTAAAAAAGGTCTCGTTATGATTCTCAAATCATTAACGACAAAACAAGGAATAAAACCAGGATTTCTATCTTTGTGAAAAAGGTGTTGGTTATAGATTTGTTGTTGACAAAACTCTTGTCTATTCAGCTGTTATGGTCCCAGCTGGATTCGTCTGCATATCTGGCAACCTGAGTCGGGAGAGTGGGAGAGGCTGCAGTACCACTTTTGGCCACATTCTTACATACGGCTCCTTTAACTGCACGACCAGATCATGGATCTATTATAAAAACTTACTAGCTTGTAGCTGAATAACTCATGTGCTCAGGGGATTCTCGTGGTACTGCAGACTGAACCAGACTGAACCAGACTAAATTCACGTGGGCTACCCGGATATTTTCCCCATAGAACTCAATGTATATTAAAACGGCGCTACCTGAGCTGACAGAGAACCTGACAGAGAACCTACAGCTTTAATAAAGTTGCATTTTGTGGGGATTTTAGTGTTCCTTGTCGTCCTGAACTTTTTTTCTTCTTAAATCCTTCGGTTTTGTTTAAATCCACACTTTAGTGCCACAAACTCTGCTCGTCTGGCTCTCGCTCTAACTCCCGCTCTGATGAACTGCTCTGATTGGTCAGAGCCGAGCCCCTCTGTGCACGTGCGTGAGACCCTCTGTGCACGTGCGTGAGACCCTGTGCACGTGCGTGAGACCTTGGCACGTGCGTTAGACCGGTGAGACCACACACGCGTATCTGACACAATGCCATTATGGAGATCATCCACTGCACAGAACCGGAGAGGACCAGACGATGCCCAAATACAGGAGAGTTTCCCAAAGATCTTTGAGAGTTTCCCATAGATCTTTGAGAGTTTCCATAGATCTTTGAGAGTTTCCCATAAATCTTTGAGAGTTTCCCATAGATCTTTGAGAGTTTCTCATAGATCTTTGAGAGTTTCCCATAGATCTTTGAGAGTTTCCATAGATCTTTGAGAGTTTCCATAGATCTTTGAGAGTTTCCCATAGATCTTTGAGAGTTTCCCATAGATCTTTGAGAGTTTCCATAGATCTTTGCGAGTTTTCCCATAGATCTTTGAGAGTTTCTCATAGATCTTTGAGAGTTTCCATATAGATCTTTGAGAGTTTCCATAGATCTTTGAGAGTTTCCCATAGATCTTTGAGAGTTTCCCATAGATCTTTGAGAGTTTCCCAGAGATCTTTGAGAGTTTCCCATAGATCTTTGAGAGTTTCCCATAGATCTTTGAGAGGTTCCATAGATCTTTGCGAGTTTCCCATAGATCTTTGAGAGTTTCTTATAGATCTTTGAGAGTTTCCCATAGATCTTTGCGAGTTCCAGGCGACTTCCGCTAATCTTTCAGCCTCCATGCCGTCACAAAGCGCCACTGAGCACAACCATTCATTTGAATAGGGCGCCATCTTGGATCGCCGGGGCTTGGACCAGATCAAAAACCTGTAGTGTCCGCGAATAACTCATAGTGAATTTGTTTCTAGTCTTGCTACCTCCGTGACCGTGTGACCCATGTCTGTGTCGTCTGTCTGTGCAGGATCTGCTTGTGACTGTGTTTGAAAATGGCGTCCTCCTTTGTGAATATTCCTTCGACGAGATTCGAAAGAATGCTCTGCTTAAGGACCTTGACCTTAGCTCCACAATGTACAACGAGAAGGATCTACTGGAGAAACAAGTCCTGAATGGAGTGCACTGACGTGTGCCTGGGACGGTGGTCGTTTCCACAGTCGGCCACATCCGGACGGTTTCTGGAGGACGCCATGTTTTTGCAGCAGGAAAGCAACATGAGCTCCTCTTCAGTCCTCACACGGAAGATATAAGAACAGGTCTAAGAGCAGGTCTAAGAACAGGTCTAAGAACAGGTCTAAGAACAGGTCTAAGAGCAGGTCTAAGAGCAGGTCTAAGAACAGGTCTAAGAGCAGGTCTAAGAGCAGGTCTAAGAGCAGGTCTAAGAGCAGGTCTAAGAGCAGGTCTAAGAGCAGGTCTAAGAGCAGGTCTAAGAGCAGGTCTAAGAGCAGGTCTAAGAGCAGGTCTAAGAGCAGGTCTAAGAGCAGGTCTAAGAGCAGGTCTAAGAGCAGGTCTAAGAGCAGGTCTAAGAGCAGGTCTAAGAGCAGGTCTAAGAGCAGGTCTAAGAGCAGGTCTAAGAGCAGGTCTAAGAGCAGGTCTAAGAGCAGGTCTAAGAGCAGGTCTAAGAGCAGGTCTAAGAGCAGGTCTAAGAACAGGTCTAAGAGCAGGTCTAAGAGCAGGTCTAAGAGCAGGTCTAAGAGCAGGTCTAAGAGCAGGTCTAAGAGCAGGTCTAAGAGCAGGTCTAAGAGCAGGTCTAAGAGCAGGTCTAAGAGCAGGTCTAAGAGCAGGTCTAAGAGCAGGTCTAAGAGCAGGTCTAAGAGCAGGTCTAAGAGCAGGTCTAAGAGCAGGTCTAAGAGCAGGTCTAAGAGCAGGTCTAAGAGCAGGTCTAAGAGCAGGTCTAAGAGCAGGTCTAAGAGCAGGTCTAAGAACAGGTCTAAGAGCAGGTCTAAGAGCAGGTCTAAGAGCAGGTCTAAGAGCAGGTCTAAGAACATTCCAATCATGTCATGCTGCTTCTGGGGACCAAACAAATATATTTTACAAAAGTTTTTCTAATGTTTCCCCTCACACGGGTTTTAATACCATATTGTCGGACACTACTTGTCATAGATTTGTTGATAATCTGTCTCTGATGTTCTTTTAACACTCGTATTAAAAGGTGTTTTTGTTTTAAGTGTGAGCATGGTTCGTTTGACACAGTTCTACACACTGACACTGGTTACTGCAGCTTTACTCTCCACAAGATCATTCAGAGGATTGAGGGTCTCCTCGTGTTTCCTAAATATATATAATAATGTATTTTAATCTGCATCAAGAAATGAAATGACGCTTCTTTGTCGCCCTCTGCTGGACTTTTGAAGGTGGTGAAACATGGCCACTGTCTGAGAGCTGCCAGACCTGCCCCAGCCATAATACATCAGTAAGATGTCACAATGTAAAGGCTGAAGGCTGGTTAGTCAGACAAGCAAAATAATACAACATACAATTATTTCTGACTAAATGAATATGCTCCTCCAGAACAGACCGAAATCCCCTGATAATACACACATCACACGTACGTTTACTATATATCGACTTGGTCCTTGTTAGGTTTCACAGTATAATTCCATATATGGAAATATACATATAATATATATATATATATGTGTATATACATATTCTAACTTAGTATAGAATAGGTCATATTCCTCATATATTCTGTTTCACTCATAAGACAAAGCCTTCACTTTAAGATTAAAAATATTTTTCGTTTCCAGGATAAAGGACGTATGTCTCCGCCCATAACACCTGCAGGGTTTAGACTCATTGTCGAGTAGTTCTTCTTGAATTTGGTGATAAGTTTCCATTTCCCGTGTAGCCAGAGACGGGAAATAGAAAGTCAGAGTCAGAGGTAAAGTCAGAGTCAGAGGTGAGAGAGACGCAGCGGAGTCCTCACATGGTCCTCACCTGGTCCTCACCATGACCAACACCCTGAACCAACACTATGAGGAGAAAGTGCGTCCCTGCATTGACCTGATAGACTCTCTCCGCTCTCTGGGAGTGGAGCAGGACCTGGCTCTGCCCGCTATCGCCGTCATCGGAGACCAAAGCTCGGGGAAGAGCTCGGTGCTGGAGGCGCTCTCTGGAGTCGCGCTGCCCAGAGGAAACGGTGAGTTCGAGAGGCATCTAAATCCCTTCTATTGTACTACTATAGTATCTGTTGTACTACTATAATACTATAGATACGATAAGATAGAAGAAAATATTATTGAAGAAAATGACAAAACTCGTGAGGCCCTCACTTCAACTCAAAAACAGGCGAACGCCACCTGGTGGCGCAGATGCTATTTCAATGTAATCAAACATTAAATACTGTGCCTACATCTAGTCTCAATAAGACGTTAAAAGTAAATTAAATAAAAGGTAAACATTAAATATTACAGGTCCAAATTTAAACAGTAAAGTGTCCTTTTCCCCACACATATTATATTATTCAGGAAGGATCAGAGCAGCTGCCATAGTATAATACTAGTAATATACTATAGTACTACTATAGTAGTACCATTAGTATATAACTGCAGGGTAGTACTATATAGTACTATAGTACAACTATAGCTACTACAGTATTATATCGCCGACACCCACACAAAAAAACTCAGACATAGGAAGTATTACTCACACTCAACTGTTTATTATTATTTTTGTGCATATTCCTGGATATTGATGTTTGTTTTGGAAAAGTAGGAATCGTGACGAGATGTCCTTTAGAGCTTAAGATGAAGAGAACGAAAGCAGGTCAGAAATGGAGCGGGAAAATTAAATACAGGGACTACAGTGAAGATCTGGGGAAACCTGCAGAAGTGGACGAGAAAATTAGAAAAGGTAAAGGCCCGAGACCTGTTTTCATTATTTATATTGACAACTTCTTTGTAAGCAGAACATGTGCTGAATGTGTCCACAGCTCAGGAGGTGTTGGCGGGTAAGGGCTGCGGAATCAGCCACGAACTGATTAGTTTGGCGATAGCCTCCCCTGATATTCCAGACCTGACACTGATCGACCTGCCTGGAATCGCCCGAGTGGCTGTCAAAGGCCAACCTGAAAATATTGGAGAACAGGTATTATGTGTTTTTTGTGTTGCCCAAAATGAAATCAAGATTTATAATGTTAGACTACTTCTTAAAAGCCTGTAAGTAACCAGAGCCCTAAAAACAAACTAATATGCAAAAAATAGCACATTTGTTGTGTGTTTAAATGTTTTTTTTGCTTGCATTTCTACAAATCTCAAAGGGTTTTTTATGATAATGTTGTTACTTGCAACAGTCCTACATGACAAAGTATTTAACAGATCCGTGTTCAAAAGAAGAGATTTGAACTTTCTCGAATGTTAAAATCTGTCAAATCAAATCTATTTTTTTGTATAATCCAAAATCACTGAGGCTGAAGACGGGTGAGGGATTGATGCAGATTTAGGCCCCGTTTCCACGGAGACGCTGCAACAGTAATAGGTCATAGTTTATATTGTGTCCTTTCGTTTCCACGGAGACGGTGTTTCAGGTGTAAACAATTGAGAAACAGCCTCCAGAGTGGAACAGAACAGAGACGCTGATGACCTCAGCACTTCGTACATTTGGACGCAGTAGAACGTAAACAACAATGGCGGAGGGTCGACTAATGCTACGTGTGCTTCGCGAACGGAGGAGGATTCTACTCTTTGTCCAAACCAAACCACAGCTGTAGTTTCACTATGGTCTCTCTCTGGCTGCAAGTTAGAACTACATAGTTTTCCGTCGTTGTGTAGACGCTGTGCTAGCCTGGTCTAAGCCAACCATAAACTCTGGTCAATGATCATCTCCTACATGTACGTCTGGTCTTACCATGTGTAAACTCTGGTCCATGATCATTTCCTACATGTACGTCTGGTCTTACCATGTGTAAACTCTGGTCCATGATCATCTCCTACATGTACGTCTGGTCTTACCATGTGTAAACTCTGGTCCATGATCATTTCCTACATGTACGTCTGGTCTTACCATGTGTAAACTCTGGTCCATGATCATCTCCTACATGTACGTCTGGTCTTACCATGTGTAAACTCTGGTCCATGGTCATTTCCTACATGTACGTCTGGTCTTACCATGTGTAAACTCTGGTCCATGATCATTTCCTACATGTACGTCTGGTCTTACCATGTGTAAACTCTGGTCCATGATCATTTCCTACATGTACGTCTGGTCTTACCATGTGTAAACTCTGGTCCATGATCATCTCCTACATGTACGTCTGGTCTTACCATGTGTAAACTCTGGTCCATGATCATTTCCTACATGTACGTCTGGTCTTACCATGTGTAAACTCTGGTCCATGATCATTTCCTACATGTACGTCTGGTCTTACCATGTGTAAACTCTGGTCCATGATCATTTCCTACATGTACGTCTGGTCTTACCATGTGTAAACTCTGGTCCATGGTCATTTCCTACATGTACGTCTGGGTCTGATCCTAGTGGCTGCAGTTTCCTCGGTTGAATCCCCTCCGACCAATCAGAGAGCAGGGGAGGCGGGTGTTGTAGGTTCGGCGTCAGTGACGTCAAGAGTTTGTGCTGAATTTGCTGGTTGTAGTTTGGAAGAGAATTCACACCTTTGTATTCTTTTCTCTTTTTTTTTTTACATCAGATCAAAACATTAATACGGACGTTTATCGCAAAACAAGAGACGATCAATCTGGTGGTGGTTCCTTGTAACGTGGATATTGCCACAACAGAAGCCTTGCAGATGGCCCAGGAAGAAGATCCAGAGAAAAAACGTACTTTAGGTAAACACAGTCGAATGAATGTCTCAAAAATAGATAACGCAACTATTAATGTTTTTGAGTTTTATGTTCCCAGGTGTTTTGACTAAACCAGATCTAGTGGACAAAGGGGCAGAGAAGACGGTTATTGAAATTGTGCAAAACAAGGTCATCGTCCTGAAGAAGGGCTACATGGTCGTCAAATGCAGAGGTCAAAAGGATATTTTAGACGATATGTCTTTAAACAAAGCACTGAAGAATGAACAGGCCTTCTTCAGAAACCACCAGGTCTTTAGGTAACTCACCCGTGCATCATGTTGAATGTATAATAACAATCTTATACTAACTTGCTCATGTGTGTTAGTGCCCTTTATGATGACAACAATGCAGGTGTTCCATTACTTGCCCGGAAACTTACCCTGGAGCTGGTGGAGCACATTAATGTAACAGAAATATACAAAACACATCTGTTTAACATGTTTCAAACAACTTCAAGAGATAAGTCTCTTTCACACTGTGTTTACAGATGAACCCTAACCCTAACCCTAACCCTAACCCTTTTTATAACCTACTCACGTATTGATACACCTGCTGTATACACCTGTATACACCTGCTGTATACACCTGTATACACCTGCTGTATACACCTGTATACACCTGCTGTATACACCTGTATACACCTGCTGTATACACCTGTATACAACTGCTGTATACACCTGCTGTATACACCTATATACACCTGCTGTATACACCTATATACACCTGCTGTATACACCTGTATACACCTGCTGTATACACACCTGTATATATACACCTGCTGTATAAAAAGCCACTCAGGAATCAATGGACTCAGATGAAGCTTTTATCTGTGCCCGAGCTGCACAAGTGTCTGACTGTCATCTCCACTGCTACAAACATACCTTTGTTTTTCCAGAATGATCCTTGTTTTACTAATTAAATTAGCACACACACCTTTTGTCGACAGTAGATAAATATAAAGAAACAACATGAAACCATCTGAGGATTAGGATTTCACATATTTTGGGGCGAAGAAGAAAACATTTGTTTTTGTCCTTTGTAAATCACAAATACATTCTGTGCAGATCCAGTGTCTGAGATATTAATCATTTTAGTCTGAATGGTTTGATCGTTGCTGAGTAAACATAGAAAATGACGACACCAACTCGTACCTGGAAAAACACGGCCATGGCGGCGATGTTCCTCTTCTCCCGGAGCGCTGCACTGAGGCTGTCGAAGTCGTCGGCGTTGTACATGTAGATCTGCATCTGAAACAAAAACACACAACCTCAGACAAGTTTTTATATCCTCCATTTCTGTGACAAGAAAATATCAGACACACCATTGATTACAACATTAGATCAAGACCGCAGGGGCTTTATCCCCACGGCTGTCAGACTGTACAATAAGTCACTTTAAGTCACTAGGACAGAACAAACCTGCACTGCTGTTGCTGCTCTTTCTTTTATTGTACATGATTATATCCTGCACAAACTCTATATATATTTTTTTACAATAAAGTTTATAAATATCTTGTCTAAAAACATTTATCTTTTGTCAACTTAAGTGTCGTCCTGACTGTGGCCCCAGAGTCAGGACTAAACACAGAGTCTGCATTTCAGATCCATGCAGCTGGGGTTTGGAGCAGTCTTCCTGAGGTTGTGAGACAGACCGAACCCTGACCTTGTTCAAAACTACGCTGAAAACACTTCTTTTTAGCTGTGCATAGAACTGACTCTATTTTGTACATTAACTCCCTTTTTAAACCATTTTACCAAATCAAAAACCAAACATTTTAATGAGTTTTGAACCTCCCACTTTTGTGCCACTGTTTTAATGAAATATTTGTATATTTTTATGACTTTTTAATGCATTTCGATATTTTTAAACTGCTCTTGTGAAGCCCTTTGAAGTGCCTTATACACGATTTTTTCTAAACAAGTATACGGTTAATTAAAGTCAACATTTGGATTGTAACGATTGGTGATGACGTTAGCGCACACATTATAACGGCGTCACAGGAAGCCGTTTTTTGAGACTCATAACGAGACCTTTTTTAGTTCTGCGCCACATGGTACTTTACCAGTGAGATTAGCTCCATGCGCTGAGTTCTGGCGCCCGTATCACAGACTTTCTGATTGGAGAAACGGTGGAGGGCGGGACATCAAAATGAAAACAATAACAAGATTTAGAAGCTGGAAAAATAATTTAGAAATTCCAATATCTCTGAACTACTGTTATCAGTTAAAGAAGTATTGGAAAAGAGCAGTTTATTATTATGACAGATTAGGGCCCTTTAATGAGGACAGATTAGGGCCCTTTAATGACAGATTTGGGCCCTTTAATTATGATTTAACATAAAAATCGTACATAGCTCTACTTTAATTCAAAAGGACACATAATCTCTGAGTATCGTGGTCCCACCTCCAGGAGACTATGGACTCTGAGTGAATGACTCTGGAGAAAGAAAAATGAAGCCGTTTTTTTCGTCCAAATATGACTGAGCCTGACTCTCCGACTGCTACATTACTGACGCCGCACACACACACACACACACACACACACACACACACACACACACACACACACACACACACACACACGCACACACACACACACACACACACGCACACACACTCTGTACATTTGTCTGTTTGCATAAATTGTAGCGCTGAGAACACATTCCTCCGTGCCAAAAGCAATTCTCCGAGCTCGTCTCTGCCAACATCAACACTGTCAAAATCACTTGTGTAGCATTTTCCGCAGCTTGCTAATGCGCACATAAAGAGTCCCGTGCACGGCTTTTTGATCTATCTGTGGAGTAAACAGTCGTCAAGCAGCGTGATATAGAATCTGTTTATACAATTTATAGATGCTCGGCTACAACAGGCTCGTATTAATTAAAGTCAAAGTGGAGGCTTGGACACAGTGGAGACGGCAGCTGCAGCCTCACGATTAAAAGGAGCGGAAATGCTGCGAGCTAGAACCTAACGACTACTGCAGGGGCTGATGGGGCTGTTGGGGGTGTTGGGGCTGTTGGGGATGTTGGGGCTGTTGAGGGTGTTGGGGGTGTTGGGGGTGTTGGGGGTGTTGGGGGTGTTGGGGGTGTTGGGGATGTTGGGGCTGTTGGGGTGTTGGGGCTGTTGGGGCTGTTGGGGGTGTTGGGGCTGAGGGGGCTGTTGAGGGTGTTGAGGCTGTTGAGGGTGTTGAGGATGTTGAGGATGTTGAGGGTGTTGAGGGTGTTGGGGGTGTTGGGGGTGTTGGGGGTGTTGGGGCTGTTGGGGCTGAGGGGGCTGTTGAGGCTGTTGAGGCTGTTGGGGCTGTTGAGGGTGTTGGGGGTGTTGAGGCTGTTGGGGGTGTTGGGGCTGTTGGGGCTGTTGGGGCTGTTGGGGGTGTTGGGGGTGTTGGGGGTGTTGGGGGTGTTGAGGCTGTTGGGGGTGTTGGGGGTGTTGGGGCTGTTGGGGCTGTTGGGGCTGTTGGGGCTGTTGAGGGTGTTGAGGCTGTTGGGGCTGTTGGGGCTGTTGGGGCTGTTGGGGGTGTTGGGGGTGTTGGGGGTGTTGGGGCTGTTGGGGCTGTTGGGGCTGTTGAGGGTGTTGAGGGTGTTGAGGGTGTTGAGGGTGTTGAGGTGTTGAGGGTGTTGAGGGTGTTGGGGCTGTTGGGGCTGTTGAGGCTGTTGAGGCTGTTGGGGGTGTTGGGGGTGTTGGGGCTGTTGAGGCTGTTGGGGCTGTTGGGGCTGTTGAGGGTGTTGGGGGTGTTGGGGGTGTTGAGGCTGTTGGGGGTGTTGAGGCTGTTGGGGCTGTTGGGGCTGTTGGGGGTGTTGGGGGTGTTGGGGTGTTGGGGGTGTTGGGGGTGTTGAGGCTGTTGGGGGTGTTGGGGGTGTTGGGGGTGTTGGGGCTGTTGGGGCTGTTGGGGCTGTTGGGGCTGTTGGGGCTGTTGAGGCTGTTGGGGCTGTTGGGGCTGTTGGGGCTGTTGGGGTGTTGGGGTGTTGGGGGTGTTGGGGCTGTTGGGGCTGTTGGGGCTGTTGAGGGTGTTGAGGGTGTTGAGGGTGTTGAGGGTGTTGAGGGTGTTGGGGCTGTTGGGGCTGTTGAGGCTGTTGGGGCTGTTGGGGGTGTTGGGGGTGTTGGGGCTGTTGAGGCTGTTGGGGCTGTTGGGGCTGTTGAGGGTGTTGGGGGTGTTGGGGGTGTTGGGGGTGTTGGGGCTGTTGAGGCTGTTGGGGCTGTTGGGGCTGTTGAGGGTGTTGAGGGTGTTGAGGGTGTTGGGGGTGTTGAGGCTGTTGGGGCTGTTGAGGGTGTTGAGGGTGTTGGGGGTGTTGGGGGTGTTGGGGGTGTTGAGGCTGTTGAGGCTGTTGGGGCTGTTGGGGCTGTTGGGGGTGTTGGGGGTGTTGAGGGTGTTGAGGGTGTTGAGGGTGTGTTGAGGGTGTTGGGGCTGTTGGGGCTGTTGGGGCTGTTGGGGCTGTTGTGGGTGTTGGGGGTGTTGAGGGTGTTGGGGGTGTTGGGGGTGTTGGGGCTGTTGAGGCTGTTGAGGCTGTTGGGGCTGTTGAGGGTGTTGAGGGTGTTGGGGGTGTTGGGGGTGTTGAGGGTGTTGAGGGTGTTGAGGGTGTTGAGGGTGTTGAGGGTGTTGAGGCTGTTGAGGGTGTTGAGGGTGTTGGGGGTGTTGGGGGTGTTGATGGTTGTTGGGGCTGTTGGGGCTGTTGAGGGTGTTGAGGGTGTTGAGGGTGTTTGGGGTGTTAAGGCTGTTGAGGCTGTTGAGGCTGTTGGGGGTGTTGAGGCTGTTGAGGCTGTTGGGGCTGTTGGGGCTGTTGAGGGTGTTGAGGGTGTTGAGGGTGTTGAGGCTGTTGAGGCTGTTGAGGCTGTTGAGGTTGTTGAGGTTGTTGGGGCTGTTGGGGCTGTTGGGGCTGTTGGGGCTGTTGGGGCTGTTGGGGCTGTTGGGGCTGTTGGGGCTGTTGGGGCTGTTGAGGGTGTTGAGGGTGTTGAGGGTGTTGAGGCTGTTGGGGCTGTTGGGGCTGTTGAGGGTGTTGGGGGTGTTGGGGCTGTTGAGGCTGTTGAGGCTGTTGAGGGTGTTGAGGCTGTTGAGGCTGTTGGGGCTGTTGGGGCTGTTGAGGGTGTTGAGGGTGTTGAGGGTGTTGAGGGTGTTGGGGCTGTTGGGGCTGTTGGGGCTGTTGAGGGTGTTGGGGGTGTTGGGGGTGTTGGGGCTGTTGAGGCTGTTGAGGCTGTTGGGGCTGTTGGGGCTGTTGGGGGTGTTGGGGGTGTTGGGGGTGTTGGGGGTGTTGAGGGTGTTGAGGCTGTTGAGGCTGTTGAGGCTGTTGGGGCTGTTGAGGGTGTTGGGGGTGTTGGGGGTGTTGGGTCTGTTGAGGCTGTTGGGGGTGTAGGGGGTGTTGGGGCTGTTGAGGCTGTTGAGGCTGTTGGGGCTGTTGGGGCTGTTGAGGGTGTTGGGGGTGTTGAGGCTGTTGGGGGTTTTGGGGGTGTTGGGGCTGTTGAGGGTGTTGAGGCTGTTGGGGCTGTTGAGGGTGTTGAGGGTGTTGGGGGGTGTTGGGGCTGTCGAGGGTGTTGAGGGTGTTGAGGCTGTTGGGGCTGTTGAGGGTGTTGAGGGTGTTGAGGCTGTTGGGGCTGTTGAGGCTGTTGAGGCTGTTGGGGCTGTTGGGGCTGTCGAGGGTGTTGAGGGTGTTGAGGCTGTTGGGGCTGTTGAGGGTGTTGAGGGTGTTGAGGGTGTTGAGGCTGTTGGGGCTGTTGAGGCTGTTGAGGCTGTTGGGGCTGTTGGGGCTGTTGAGGGTGTTGAGGGTGTTGAGGGTGTTGAGGGTGTTGGGGCTGTTGGGGCTGTTGGGGCTGTTGAGGGTGTTGGGGGTGTTGGGGCTGTTGGGGCTGTTGAGGGTGTTGGGGCTGTTGGGGCTGTTGGGGCTGTTGAGGCTGTTGAGGCTGTTGAGGCTGTTGGGGGGGTGTTGGGGGTGTTGGGGGTGTTGGGGGTGTTGGGGCTGTTGGGGGTGTGTGGGGCTGTTGGGGCTGTTGGGGCTGTTGGGGCTGTTGGGGCTGTTGGGGCTGTTGGGGTGTTGGGGGTGTTGGGGCTGTTGGGGCTGTTGGGGCTGTTGGGGCTGTTGGGGGTGTTGAGGCTGTTGAGGCTGTTGAGGCTGTTGGGGGTGTTGGGGCTGTTGGGGGTGTTGAGGCTGTTGGGGGTGTTGAGGCTGTTGGGGGTGTTGAGGCTGTTGAGGCTGTTGGGGGTGTTGAGGCTGTTGAGGCTGTTGGGGCTGTTGGGGGTGTTGAGGCTGTTGAGGCTGTTGAGGCTGTTGGGGCTGTTGGGGGTGTTGAGGCTGTTGAGGCTGTTGAGGCTGTTGGGGCTGTTGGGGGTGTTGAGGCTGTTGGGGCTGTTGGGGCTGTTGGGGGTGTTGAGGCTGTTGGGGCTGTTGGGGCTGTTGGGGCTGTTGGGGCTGTTGGGGGTGTTGAGGCTGTTGAGGCTGTTGGGGGTGTTGGGGGTGATTGAAATTCTAGGTTGGGATTAGGGTGGCAGGACTGAGACTGTAGATGAGTCCAGGACTGAGGCTGAGTCCAGGACCGAGGCTGAGTCCAGGGCCGAGGCTGAGTCCAGGGCCGAGGCCGAGTCCAGGACCGAGGCCGCGTCCAGGACCGAGGCCGAGTCCAGGACCGAGGCCGAGTCCAGGACCGAGGCCGAGTCCAGGACTGAGTCTGTAGATGAATCCAGGACCGAGACTTTAGATGAGTCCAGAACCGAGACTGTAGCTGGTATATCTGGACTTGTCAATAAAGTTACAACAGTTAAAGTGAATAATACTGTATTGATGCAGCTGTTGCAGATCCAGTCTGAGCCGGTCCTTCCTGACTCAGGCCTCCCCCTACTCTCCACCCGGAGATAGCGGGGCCCCTCCGCGGGTGAGCATGTCTTTTGGCCTGCCGCCGGGAAATAAAATATGAAAGCGAAGGTGCTGGTCCGTGAAGCAACCTCTCCCAAGTGTTTTTCAGTGCGCTAAATAAATGTGCTGTTTGTTGCTGAAATGACTGGCTCCGGGTCTAACAGCAGCGATGCCTCCCACTCTTTGAACTGCACCGGGAGAGGCGCCGCTACAGCACCCTAAGGCGCCTATCCTCCTACTGCATCATCAGTCTGTTGCACAAATTATACCTTTCCTGCCCCCCGCTATTGGTACATCTTTTTGGATTCTATAGCAGGAGAATCATAGAGCTGGGGTCAAACCAACGAGACCTGGAGTTGAAATGTTTCTATTGACGCAAAAAACGATTGAGAAACAGGATCGACAGGACACAGCAGGAGTTCAAGGCCTACAGCTGCAGAAAAACAGACTTCCAAATTGGATAAAGGCTCTATAGCTGGTCCCAATCAAGAAATGCTAACGTAACATGCTATGCTAAGAAATAACATTAGTATGTAAGGGTTAGCATAGCGCATGATCTGACACATATGATCCCGGTCACTTTTGTTTGAAACGTTTTGGGACATTTTGTGATGTTTCATGACTGAAGTCCAAAGTCCCTGAACAGGAAGTACTACGATGCTGTGACAGACTAAACCCACATGGTTTTAGACACAAGGTTTTGTTTTATAAAAGAGACAATATAATCTGCTTTGGTCTCAGTCCTCAGAACATGGGTCCAAACAAAGTCAAGCATCTGCAGCCAAAAGACGGACATTTTAAATTAAATTTGATAAACATTCTATAGCTTGTCGAAATTAAGAAATCCTCGATATCTGGGAAATTGCCAGAGAGAAAATGTTCAAAAGTAATTCTCAACTTGTAATGAGAGTTGGCTGTCCACATTGTCTCCAGAAATCCAAAATATTCAAATGGAGAAAACAACTTTGGCTCCATAAGCAGTGTGTGGTACTAGAAAAAGAAAAAAAACAATTGGGAAAACTTGGCATGGTCCACACAGCAGTCACCCAAGGACAGACATAACAGCAAGATTGGAAGGAGATTCTTGTTTTGAAATAAATATATCTGAGTCGACAATGAGTGCAGTCCTCCAAACCAGGAGCAAACCCGTCAATAATAACAATAAAACAAAAAAAAAATTAATTAATTTATTTATTTATTTATTTATTTAGAGGATAAGCCCCTTGAGAGGAATCATCTCATTTTCGAGGGGGTCCTCAAGATTTCACAAGGACAGATACAGCAAAACAGATGCAAATAAGACAAAAGAAAATCATAAAAAAAAAAAAAAAAAAAAAAAAAAAAAACCACACAAAACAAATAGTAATAATAAAAAAATAAAAATAAAAAAGCAACCATAACAAATACACACACAATCACTCACACACACACACATCGTGACTGTACTGATGTTACACAAAATATGGATAATACTATTAATATTGATGGTAATAACAATAATCGGGAGACAAGACAAGTTTAGGTCTCATAAACTAAGATCAAAAATTCAGCTTTGGCTTTTATGAAATGTGCTCTGTGGGTTTGTAGCAGCCAAAACGTTCAGCGATTTCTGAATGTTGAGAGTTGTAAAGTAATGAAGAAGTGGATATTAGGGTTAGGGTGGATATCTAACATGGCTGTGGGCTGGTGTAGTGCAGGGGTGTCCAAACTTTTTAACAAGAGGGCCACTTTGGTTCATCAGACTTGACCTGGGCCAGACAACCTGGATTAAAAACTGGATTGGAGGCGGATTAACTCTGATTCTGGAATTTAAAATGGGTTATGATACGCCTTTATAGATTCACAGCTGCATTTTATATGGAATGTTGTGACAATTAAGGCAATAACTGGATTCCAGCGGGTCTGAGATTTACAACAGGGTATAACGTGACTTGGTGGAGCTGAAGTTGTTTGGATGACACTGTCAAAATACCTGGTGCAGTGATTTCTGCATCATTCCTTTGCGTTTATCACTGGTAGATTTTACAACATCCATCCACGGTGGCACGGTGGCTGAGTGGATAGCACTCTCGCCTCTCAGCAAGAAGGTCCTGGGTTCGAATCCCGGTCGGACCAGGGCCTTTCTGAGTGGAGTTTGCATGTTCTCCCCGTGTCTGCGTAGGTTTCCTCCGGGTACTCCGGTTTCCCCTACCACTAAAAATATGTACAATAGATCTGACATGCGCCTCCTATACTGGCGACCCCGCTCCCAAAAATAACAATTGTAAACCGCTTTGAGACTCCAATGTGCAGTGAAAAGGCGGTATATAAATAAAGATTACTACTAGATTACTACTACTACTACATCCATCCATTTTCTTCCCCTTAATCCATTTCTGGGTCGGAGGGGTGGCCAGAGATGCCACCCAGCACACAGAACACCAGCCAGATTTTACAACATGTCTTATCTAATCATTTTGTCATTTGTAATCTGAAAGTCTGGGAGAGCAGAATGTTCCGGGCTTGTCCATAAATAAAGTGGGGTGTTATTTAGTGAACGTGCAGCGCTGTGATCGCGGCAGACGCAGATGTGACGCAGTGTAATGTACTCAATGAAGCATTAATATTTGGGAAGGTAAGCACCAGAGACGGCAGAGAAGGCAGCGGTGATGAATCAGGCAGGCCGCTCCACTGACACCTAATGCTTCATTATTATAGATGCTCTGAGTGTTTTCTGCGGGTGGTGCTGGTGGTGGGGGTGGGGGTGGTGGTGAGGGGGGGTGGGGGCTGATTTAAAGGTAACAGCCCACCTGAAAAGTTAAATGTGGTTGAATCCATTTGGAGACAGTCCGGGATCCGAGCATCTGTCACACTGATGGTTCTGCTGCTCCGTTTGTCCAGTGCATGATATGAATGCAACACGACCGCAATAATTATAGTCTGGGTCTTACCATGTGTAAACTCTGGTCCATGGTCATTTCCTACATGTACGTCTGGTCTTACCATGTGTAAACTCTGGTCCATGGTCATTTTCTACATGTACGTCTGGTCTTACCATGTGTAAACTCTGGTCCATGATCATTTCCTACATGTACGTCTGGGTCTTACCATGTGTAAACTCTGGTCCATGGTCATTTCCTACATGTACGTCTGGTCTTACCATGTGTAAACTCTGGTCCATGGTCATTTTCTACATGTACGTCTGGTCTTACCATGTGTAAACTCTGGTCCATGATCATTTCCTACATGTACGTCTGGGTCTTACCATGTGTAAACTCTGGTCCATGGTCATTTCCTACATGTACGTCTGGTCTTACCATGTGTAAACTCTGGTCCATGGTCATTTCCTACATGTACGTCTGGGTCTTACCATGTGTAAACTCTGGTCCATGGTCATTTTCTACATGTACGTCTGGTCTTACCATGTGTAAACTCTGGTCCATGGTCATTTCCTACATGCTACGTCTGGTCTTACCATGTGTAAACTCTGGTCCATGGTCATTTCCTACATGTACGTCTGGGTCTTACCATGTGTAAACTCTGGTCCATGGTCATTACTCGGTTTTTCAACCGCTGGGCTGTCGGGCATCGGCTGCCCTCGAAGTCGTTGGTGGTTGTTCATGTGGTACTTTTGAGTGCCTTTGGGGGGAGGATGTTTAGCCACGGTTATCATACGACTCGGATTGTTTTTACTCCCAACAGTGGGCGGGGTCACTGCCAGGGGGGGAGAAGTTTTGTGGACACGGGATAGTTTGGGGCAGGACGGAGATCTTCACGTAGGGGACCACATATGGATTTCCGGTGGAAACCCCACACCCAACAACCACCCCCACAAATAAACACCGCACAACCCCACCCCCCCAAGGGGGGATGGGTCAGCCTGCGAGAAATCAAATCAACGGCGTGCCAAAATGCGGGCGATCGGGTCGTGAAGCAAGATGCCTTGGCTGTCATTGTTCGGTGTGGGTTCACCTCGCTTGTCTGTCTTATGCTCTATTTGAAGTGGGTTTGAGATCAAATTGGAGGTCAGTCTATGGATTCTGTTAATTATAGTTACTGTACACATGTCTGGTTTGTGGGCTTTTATGGATGGGGGGGGGGCGGTTTCGGGGGGGCGGTTGGTTAGGATGTGATTGAGAGCGAGTTTGGGCGGAGATGTTTCATTTATGTGCGTGTGGTCTTCGGGGGCTTGGATCTGGTTGCGCATCGGGAGTTATTGGCTCACAACAGGACGACTTCGGTAGTCTTGTTTGATGTGATCCCGACCTCAGTCGATTGTTAAACTTAATGTATGAAAGTACATATGGTCGCAGGAGGTGGTTGTGGTGAGTGGTGTGATAAATCAACATTCTCTGGGGAGGTGGACCAATTTTACCTACTTGGACGAGGGATAGAGGGGGTCCTTGAGGTTATCGACGGACTTTCAACTGGACTGGGGGGTGGTTATATCAATTTTGCGTGCGTGGGTGAGGTTGTGTCCAAGTAAGAAGCGGGACCGCCGTACACTTGGCGTGGGAAGTTCATGATGGTCGCGGTCTGCATGGGGCTTTAACCGTCGTGGTGGCTTGGGCGAGTGTAGGTTTTTTCTATGAGGTTGTGATATCAGGTGTCGGATTATGATAATTCGTGGTAGGATAAGACAATGTCTGATTTTTCAATGCTGGCAGCGACGGTAGTGTGGGGGGGGGGTTGGTGGATGTTGGGAGAGGGTTACGTAGATCATTGCCTTTTAATGTAAGGGGTAAGGGTAAAGGACCGGTGGACGGGGTGGTCATCAAGGTGGTCATGATAGAGTCTTTGCAGCGCTGGAAGGGGTCGGTAACTGGGCTTGTGCACGTTTGATGCGTTTGGCGTGGTCTTTCACGGTCCCGAATAGTTTTTTACTTAATGTAAAGTTCCGTATCGCTTGAGTTCTGCAGTGCATCCTTAGGGTTTCATAGACGATCTTTTAATGCCATTTGTTGTTTTTACTGGCGGCTGGTGATCCTGTTCATCTGCCTGATGCAACATCGTCCGCTGTAATGGTCCTATTCGGGGGATATCATACATCTATGGAGTCTTTCATATTTGCATTTATGCATGACCTGACTCCGGTTTATATCAGTTATTTCGAGGTAGGGTTTTGTTATGACGTTCAGTCCTGGGCTTCTGGGTGCAACTCATCAACCACTTCTTTTAAAAATTGCGACGTCAGAAAATTGGAGAGGATTTACTAGCCGCGCCACTCGGTGCCTGTCATAGGGAGTGGTATTGCATGGCGCGCCGTTTCTTACATGGTCTTGACTGCGCTGGGCTACGATATCGATTCTCATAGGTTTAATCAGTTTTTTGAAGCCAAATAAATATTCAACAGTAGATTATCTTGTCGTAGACTCAGTCGCCTAAACCTAAATAATATACAGCCTTTGCGCATTACGAGCCTTATTATTCTCCATTGCGATCTGTGGCCTGGGGAGAACCCGTTGAGCCCTTCGTCGTATATATTTATAGGTATTACCTTCGTGTAATATACGGGTTGGTGGGGTCTCCTGCGCCGTGGGCGTGTGGACTGGGTGTAGCGGCATGAATACATATGTACCGTGTTCCTTCCAACTTTGTAGCGGCAGTTGGGCACTTGCGTGTATTTCTGCGGCGGGGTGCTAGATGTACGGGGGGTGAGAGCGGGGCGGATTGACGCATTTACGAGACCAGATTCGTGCTGGGTTGTAGATGGCACGTATGGGAGAGGATTAGGTATGTAGGAAGGGGTGTTTTTTGTCGACGTGTCTGTATGTGTTGTTATGCATGAATGGTATGGGTTTGGCGAGGTGAACATATGGACTGGGTTTTTTACAGAACGGGGATTGCATACACAGGGATGTTGTTTTATTTCCTGGTCAATGTTTTTTAGGTACTAAAATACAGACCGATCTAAAAACCTCACTTTTATATTCTAAATTCATGGAGAAGATTAACTTATGCCTGAAGAAAAAATAAATTCTTATAGCTTGAGCTGCTTCGCATGCCTCTGAGGTTCACTAATATGTTTGATGTCTTTCACTTTAGGACTTATGTATAATATAGCTATGGTTAAAGGAACTTGTCTATTGTCTAATTTGACTTTTATTCTTGCTGCTGATAGGGACTACAGTGTCTGTGCTGGTCTATGTACACAACCTCTGATCATCACACTCTGTAAGACCTAAGTGCTGCAATTGAACAATTGACATCTGCATTATTTGCAGTGGCATTTGTTGGCGGCTGTGTGAGGAGGTGTGTCGGTTAATGACAGGGGAGGGGGGGGTTGACGTGGGTGCCATGTTACGGGATCTCGGAGGCATTACGTGGTGTTGCAAGTTTCGAGGAGACTGTTGCTGGAGTGTGATTGGACGCACGCGGGACGCTCCGGGGGCCGGGTAGAGGTCCCAGTGGAGGGGATGAGAGATTCTGGGCAGGCAAGGGTGGTTTCAATGCGTGGGTTTTAGCATGGGTATGCTTGGGCCAACTGCTGCAGTTGTCTCTCAGCTTTATCGGCTCGTTGATAAGCCTTTTCTGGATCCAGTGCATGATTGTTTCTAAGCTGCAGTGCGTGATTTAGGACTTATAAGGTGGTGGTCTCTTTATCTTCCCTACCTTATATATCCGCGGTGTAAGAAGGGGACATGAAGTGAGCTGTACGTAGGGCCGTTGAGCACCTGGGGTCGCAAAGACTGTTACTGTTTGTTTGGTAGCGGTAGTTGGTATGCGTGGTGTAACATGGTTCTACGGTCGTGGATTTATGGGAGGTCATTTTCGACAATGATAAGAGCAATTCTTTGGAGGTTGTTTTGACTTGCATTGAGTTGGTTCGGACGGTCGGAATCAGCTTAGGATCTGCGAGGTCTTTGGTTGGTTGCGGAAGGAGTTTTGTGTAGCGGTTTTCTAGCTTGCTATAGAGTTGGGTCTCCCTCTAGGCGAGTAAATACTGGTCTCAGCTTTTCTGGAAACAGCGTGCCCGTCTAAGACTCGTTGTAGAGAGTACAGATCGGGATGTTTTCTGGCAAGGTGGTGATAGGTTTCTGGGTCCTATTGGTCGGCGTGATTGTTCATAGGTGGGTTTTGCACTAACTCTGGAGGCAAGGGGGTGGTATTGGTTTGTTTTGGGGTTTTGCAAGTAGAGGTTATGTGTTTGACATGTTGGGACTGGGCGCAAGGAGGTTGATCCATGTACCCCGTTTAGGTGTATTGGTGTTTAGAAGGCTCGGAGTAAGAAGGGGAGATTGGTGATGATTAGAAGGTCTAGTTGGTACGTTTTTTTGGTTGTTTGACTGGTAGGTTTTTCAGGGCTTTTCTCCAGGTGGGCATGGGGACTGCTTGATGGGGTCGTTGTCAGGGTTCACTCTGTGCCTGGCCTCATAATAAGCGTCTCAGGCGTGGTCTGCACAAGCCGTACAGCATGGGAGGGAGTATGGACTGCATACGGTACGGTGACTAGTTTGCGGCTCACCTTGGGACTCGTTCTAGGTGAGTGTGACAGTGTGGGAACTGGTGAATGTGGAGGTCAACCGGAACGGAGGAGCGGGTTCCCGTGATCTGTTGGGGGAGAAAGACAGGGGGGGTGGCCGTGGGAGACACAAATTGGGGCGGAGCACTACTGGGGAAATGTGCGGGGCGGGGGTTGTGGGGGGCCGTGGCAGTGGATGGTGGGGAGGGGGGGTTTGGGGTGGGCGGAATTATGCTGTGTGGGGTGTTGGGGGGGTAGGTGATGGTATAGGGTGATGGGTCTTATGGGGTGGGCTCATGGGGGGAGGGGGGGGAGGGTGTGGAGGATGGGGGGGGGGTTTAGGGGGTGGAACGAGGTAAGCGGGGCGGGGTGGGATTGGGGGGGGGGGTTGGAGTAGGTGTGGTACAGGAGGGGGGGTACAAGTGGGAGGTCTCTTATAGTTGCGGAAGTGGGGGTGTATAAGGTAGCGGTGTATAAGGCAGGGTGTCTATGGAGTGGTGTTTAATAACCGTGTGTATAAGGAGGGTTGTATCAGGTGTGTATGATGGGCAGGGGTGTGGTGGCGCGGGTGTACTGATGAGATGGCTGGAGGGGGTGTGTGGGGGCTGTATGATGAGGCGCGGGGTGTTCGTGTGGGGGTGCTATCCGATGGGGGTGTGTGGTGGTGTATGATGGGGGTGTCGTGTGGGGGTGTATGATGGGGGTGTCGTGGGGTAAGTGTATGCATTGGGGGTGTTGTTGGGGTGTATGCCATGGGGGTTGTGTGGGGGTGTATGATGGGGGGTGTCGTGGAGGGGTAGATACTGATGGGGGGTTTAATCGCATGGGGGGGTATGATTGCGGGGTGTATGGTCGGGGTCGTAGAAGGGGGTTGTATTGCTGGGGGTGTTGATGGGTGTGGGTGGGGGTGTATGATGGGCGGTGTGCTGGGGGATGTATTCTTTCAGCGTGGTGTATGCATGGGGGTGTCTGGGGGGTGTAGTGGATGGGGGTCGTATGTGGGGGGCTGGGGCGGGGGGGGGTTGTATTGCTGGCTGTTTTATAGGGGGTTGGTCTTGAAGGGGTTTACAGGGGGATGGGTCGGGTGGTGTCACTGACATGGGGGGTGTGGTTTGCGGGTGTGTCCGGTGTTGGGTTTTACAAGCAAGGTTGCGTGTGTGGGGGCCGTTGTTATGCAGGGTGGGTTTTAAAGATGTGTGTTGAATGTGGAGTAAAGATGGTCGTTTTAATGGGTGGGTTGAATGACTGTGAGGTTGTCATGGGGCGGGGTGAATGATGGTGGTTTAAGGTGTTGTCTGCGGTTGTTGTTTGGTGTTAGACTGCAGGTGTATAATGATGGTCGTGTAGTGTGGGGGTATTCCCTGCGGTGTTTGTCTGCTGCGTGGTGTTTGGGGTTTTATGACAGGTGTATAAAGGGGGTTAACTGCTCGGTGGTTATTGTCGGGTTGGAGGGGTGATATTTTAGGGGTGCTGGGGTAGGGTTCAATCGGGGTTATCAATGTTGTGTGGGGGGGAAAGTGTCCGTAGTCGGGATGTTGGTTGGACTTTATGCGCGTTTAAATGAGGGGGGTTGTGTTTTGTTCTGGGTATGATTTGTGCGACACTACTCGACTCATGGGTTTGTGTCCGGCGCTAGTTAGGGTTATTCAAAACGGCTGTGGTGTGAATAAGTTAGGGGCACTTTCAATCTTGTGATTGGGTGGTGTTGTCTTGTGTTGATTATGTCTTACAGTGTTGCACTAGGGTGCTGTGTAATTTTGTAAGGGAGGGCTGTATGTTGTAAGGACGGGTCTTGAGCTGATGGTGAACTGGTGTTGAATGTCTATCGTCTATTTTTTTCACTTTCCCCCCTCCCGCCCCCCCCCCCCACCCCCCTCCCCCCCCCCCCCCCCCCCCCCCCCCACAACTAGGCGAGTGGTCGTCATGGGTGAACATGATGATGGGGCTCGATGAACTTGTTTGTGCTACTGGGCACATAGTTACCTGTCTTCATACGAACCGTTGTCCACTAGATCTGGTTTAGTCAAAACACCTGGGAACATAAAAACTCAAAAACATTAATAGTTGCGTTATCTATTTTTGAGACATTTCATTCGACTGTGTTTTACCTAAAGTACGTTTTTTTCTCTGGATCTACTTCCTGGGCCATCTGCAAGGCTTCTGTTGTGGCAATATCCACGTTACAAGGAACCACCCACCAGATTGATCGTCTCTTGTTTTGCGATAAACGTCCGTATTAATGTTTTGATCTGATGTAAAAAAAAAAGAGAAAAGAATACAAAGGTGTGAATTCTCTTCCAAACTACAACCAGCAAATTCAGCACAAAACTACTTGACGTCACTGACGCCGACCTACAACACCCGCCTCCCCTGCTCTCTGATTGGTCGGAGGGGATTCAACCGAGGAAACTGCAGCACACTTAGGATCACAAGAACCAGACGTACATGTAGGGAATGACCTTGGACCAGAGTTTACACATGGTAAGACCTGGACGTACTTGTAGGAGATGATCATGGACCTGTGTATAAACTTGTTATGACCTGGAGTACATTGTTTCGGAAATGACCTTGTTCCAGAGTTTTTATAAATGGTAAGACCAGTACGTACATGTTAGGAAATGATCATGGACCAGAGTTTACACATGGTATAGACCAGAAGTACATGTAGGAAATGGACCATGGACCAGAGTTTACATCTTGGTAAGGACCAGACGTACATGTAGGATATGGATTCATGGACCAGTGTTTACACATGGTAAGACCTGACGGTTCTTGTTGGAAATGATAATGGACCAGAGTTTTACACTTGGTAAGACCAGACGTACATGTAGGAAATGATCAGAGTTTACACATGGTAAGACCAGACATGTACATGTACCAGGAACATGATCATGGAAATGATCCAGAGTTTACACATGGTAAGACCAGACGTACATGTAGGAGATGATCATGGACCAGAGTTTACACATGGTAAGACCAGACGTACATGTAGGAAATGATCATGGACCAGAGTTTACACATGGTAAGACCAGACGTACATGTAGGAAATTATCATGGACCAGAGTTTACACATGGTAAGACCAGACGTACATGTAGGAAATGATCATTGACCAGAGTTTACACATGGTAAGACCAGACGTACATGTAGGAAATGACCATGGACCAGAGTTTACACATGGTAAGACCAGACGTACATGTAGGAAATGATCATGGACCAGAGTTTACACATGGTAAGACCAGACGTACATGTAGGAAATGATCATGGACCAGAGTTTACACATGGTAAGACCAGACGTACATGTAGGAAATGATCATGGACCAGAGTTTACACATGGTAAGACCAGACGTACATGTAGGAAATGATCATGGACCAGAGTTTACACATGGTAAGACCAGACGTACATGTAGGAGATGATCATTGACCAGAGTTTATGGATGGCTTAGGCCAGGCTAGCACAGCGTCTACACAACGACGGAAAACTATGTAGTTCTAACTTGCAGCCAGAGAGAGACCATAGTGAAACTACAGCTGTGGTTTGGTTTGGACAAAGAGTAGAATCCTCCTCCGTTCGCGAAGCACACGTAGCATTAGTCGACCCTCCGCCATTGTTGTTTACGTTCTACTGCGTCCAAATGTACGAAGTGCTGAGGTCATCAGCGTCTCTGTTCTGTTCCACTCTGGAGGCTGTTTCTCAATTGTTTACACCTGAAACACCGTCTCCGTGGAAACGAAAGGACACAATATAAACTATGACCTATTACTGTCGCAGCGTCTCCGTGGAAACGGGGCCTAAATCTGCATCAATCCCTCACCCGTCTTCAGCCTCAGTGATTTTGGATTATACAAAAAAATAGATTTGATTTGACAGATTTTAACATTCGAGAAAGTTCAAATCTCTTCTTTTGAACACGGATCTGTTAAATACTTTGTCATGTAGGACTGTTGCAAGTAACAACATTATCATAAAAAACCCTTTGAGATTTGTAGAAATGCAAGCAAAAAAAACATTTAAACACACAACAAATGTGCTATTTTTTGCATATTAGTTTGTTTTTAGGGCTCTGGTTACTTACAGGCTTTTAAGAAGTAGTCTAACATTATAAATCTTGATTTCATTTTGGGCAACACAAAAAACACATAATACCTGTTCTCCAATATTTTCAGGTTGGCCTTTGACAGCCACTCGGGCGATTCCAGGCAGGTCGATCAGTGTCAGGTCTGGAATATCAGGGGAGGCTATCGCCAAACTAATCAGTTCGTGGCTGATTCCGCAGCCCTTACCCGCCAACACCTCCTGAGCTGTGGACACATTCAGCACATGTTCTGCTTACAAAGAAGTTGTCAATATAAATAATGAAAACAGGTCTCGGGCCTTTACCTTTTCTAATTTTCTCGTCCACTTCTGCAGGTTTCCCCAGATCTTCACTGTAGTCCCTGTATTTAATTTTCCCGCTCCATTTCTGACCTGCTTTCGTTCTCTTCATCTTAAGCTCTAAAGGACATCTCGTCACGATTCCTACTTTTCCAAAACAAACATCAATATCCAGGAATATGCACAAAAATAATAATAAACAGTTGAGTGTGAGTAATACTTCCTAAGTCTGAGTGTGGGTGTCGGCGAGTACTGGTCAAGATTTTGTTGACCTTAATCTTTTACAAATCCAGGATTGATGTATATAGTATAGATACACTTACTAGTACTATAGTACTGTAGTATAATACTGTAGTAGCTATAGTTGTACTATAGTACTATAGTAGTACTACCCTGCAGTTATATACTAATGGTACTACTATAGTAGTACTATAGTATATTACTAGTATTATACTATGGCAGCTGCTCTGATCCTTCCTGAATAATATAATATGTGTGGGGAAAAGGACACTTTACTGTTTAAATTTGGACCTGTAATATTTAATGTTTACCTTTTATTTAATTTACTTTTAACGTCTTATTGAGACTAGATGTAGGCACAGTATTTAATGTTTGATTACATTGAAATAGCATCTGCGCCACCAGGTGGCGTTCGCCTGTTTTTGAGTTGAAGTGAGGGCCTCACGAGTAGTAGAGAGAAAGTGACGAGAGAGAGTTTCAGAGAACATGATTGTGATCCGTTAGTTAGAACGGCGGAGATAGGCGTGACTCTGTCCGTTAATATATACAGTCTGTTGTGAACCTGTCGTGCTAAAGGACAATAAAACCACTGTTTATCGTCAGATGCTGCCTCTTCTTTACACTTTTTTGATCGTTTGTCTACGACAATAAAACATATGTTCTGTCTGTCCATCCCAGACAATTTTGTCATTTTCTTCAATAATATTTTCTTCTATCTTATCTTATCTATAGTATTATAGATACTATAGTAGTACAATAGAAGGGATTTAGATGCCTCTCGAACTCACCGTTTCCTCTGGGCAGCGCGACTCCAGAGAGCGCCTCCAGCACCGAGCTCTTCCCCGAGCTTTGGTCTCCGATGACGGCGATAGCGGGCAGAGCCAGCCACACTACAGGTTTTTGATCTGGTCCAAGCCCCGGCGATCCAAGATGGCGTCCTATTCAAATGAATGGTTGTGCTCAGTGGCGCTTTGTGACGGCGTGGGGGCTGAAAGATTAGCGGAAGTCGCCAGGAACTCGCAAAGATCTATGGGAAACTCTCAAAGATCTATGGGAAACTCTCAAAGATCTATGGGAAACTCTCAAAGATCTATGAGAAACTCTCAAAGATCTATGGGAAACTCTCAAAGATCTATGGAAACTCTCAAAGATCTTTGGGAAACTCTCAAAGATCTATGAGAAACTCTCAAAGATCTATGGGAAACTCTCAAAGATCTTTGGGAAACTCTCAAAGATCTATGGAAACTCTCAAAGATCTATGAGAAACTCTCAAAGATCTTTGGGAAACTCTCAAAGATCTATGGAAACTCTCAAAGATCTTTGGGAAACTCTCAAAGATCTTTGGGAAATTCTCAAAGATCTATAGGAAACTCTCCTGTATTTGGGCATCGTCTGGTCCTCCCGGTTCTGTGCAGTGGATGATCTCCCATAATGCATTGCGTCAAACACGCGTGTGTGGGTCTCACACCGGGTCTCACGCACGTGCACAGAGGGTCTCACGCACGTGCACAGAGGGGCTCGGCCGCGCTCTGACCAATCAGAGCAGTTCATCAGAGCGGGAGTTAGAGCGAGAGCCAGACGAGCAGAGTTTGTGGCAGTAAAGTGTGGATTTAAACAAAACCGAAGGATTTAAGAAGAAAAAAAGTTCAGGATGACAAGGAACACTAAAATCCCCACAAAATGCAACCTTTATTAAAGCTGTAGGTTCTCTGTCAGGTTCTCTGTCAGCTCAGGTAGCGCCGTTTTAATATACATTGAGTTCTATGGGGAAAATATCCGGGTAGCCCACGTGAATTTAGTCTGGTTCAGTCTGGTTCAGTCTGGTTCAGTCTGCAGTACCACGAGAATCCCCTGAGCACATGAGTTATTCAGCTACAAGCTAGTAAGTTTTTATAATAGATCCATGATCTGGTCGTGCAGTTAAAGGAGCCGTATGTAAGAATGTGACCAAAAGTGGTACTGCAGCCTCTCCCACTCTCCCTGACTCAGGTTGCCAGATATGCAGACGAATCCAGCTGGGACCATAACAGCTGAATAGACAAGAGTTTTGTCAACAACAAATCTATAACCAACACCTTTTTCACAAAGATAGAAATCCTGGTTTTATTCCTTGTTTTGTCGTTAATAATTTGAGAATCATAACGAGACCTTTTTTAGTTCTGCGCCACATGGTACTTTACCAGTGAGATTAGCTCCATGTGGTGAGTTCTGGCGCCCGGATCACAGACTTTCTGATTGATGAAATGGTGGAGGGCGGGACATTGAAATGAAAACAATAACAAGATTCAAATATTTCTGATGACAGATTATGGCCCTTTAAAGAGCGACTAAACACCAAATCAACTTTTTTTTACTCATAAACTGCATAAATATGTTTATTGTAGTGCTGTCTACATATCCTGTTCATTTTTTTGACATTTTAGTTCAAATTAGATAAAATCTCACTTTTGAGCCAAAAAACGTCTGTGTGGCGCCCTCTCAACCTTTTTGGTGGTACTACATTTGAATTTGGTCCTGGCCTCTCCATTGACTCTGAAGTTCTCTATGACATCAGTTGTTTTGTGTGACGTCAGTCTGTCAGAGCCAGTGATATGAACCCATCCAACTCTCACACACGCCCCAGATGCAGTTTGGAGTATTCTGGCGACATCTAGTGGTTAAAAATGAGAAATTCTGAGATTATTGTGTTGATTAGATTCAGGTGTGTAGCTCTACAATTATTTTAGTGTGTAAACAAAGGAATGAGACTTTCTGGTCTGTAAACTATTGCTTTAAGCAGCGATGACTACTGTCTGTTTTTTGTGTGTGACAAGTGAGCTGTCAATCACAGCCCAGACCACGCCCAACTCTAAGCCCCCCTTCCTGTCCCTTGGTCCTCCAGGCAACGCCCTTTTAAGAGAAAATGTTCAAATCTTCAAGTGGGCGGAGTAAGGCTGGGCACAGGTGTTTAGTTGCTCTTTAACTCATTCACTGCCCATGACGACAAAAGTCGTTCTATTGTATAGTGACGCTCACTGCCCAAGACGACTTAGACGACTTTTTCGTGTTATTACACGGGAGGCTGCAGTAATGTCTGGCGCACCTTGTTAATGACCCACAACACTGATATATAGTGCAAATGTACCTGTAATGATAAATCACCACCAGTAGGATGCAGTATTGCACCACAGGAGAGGTCATAAGTCAGTGGAGAGAAGGAGGAGGGGTGTGGGATCTTTGGACAGCGTGCTTCTGTAGCAGAGCGTGCGAGCATTGAGACAGATCAGCGATCTAGTTTAGCGATAGTATAGTAAGAGTGATGGCGAAAAAGAATAGTTATAAGCAGTATACACTGCTTCAGGGATTGACTCGCGGATCAGTGAGTGAGGTCGAGAGGGGAGAGAGTGGAGACCCCGGTGGAGGTCCGTCTCTGCAGCCACATTTGCGCGGAGCAAGAGCCCCGAGCAGAGACACGCCCTCCGCCTCTCTCAGCGTATCAACTGCTGTTGTTACTGATGCCTCAGATTCGTTCAGCAAACCTGATCATGATTTATCGGACACACTCACAAACACTCACACGCACTCACTCACTCACTCACGCACACAGACACACACGCACTCACTCACGCACACAGACACTCACTCGCACACTGACATTCACACACACAGACACTCACTCACACAGACACTCACTCACACAGACACTCACTCGCACACTGACATTCACACACACACACTCAAATTCATATGCTTCATTCTATTTTATACATCTATAGTTTTATTGATCTTTGTGTTGTTGTTGTTTGACGTTTTGGTTGATGGTATAGAAGAAAGTTAAATTTTCTATCTGTGAATAAATTGCCAACAATTTGCCATCAAAAGTATTATTTCAGAGTCATGTTTTTATAATTTTTGTAATGGAACAAGTGTGGAGATGTTTTGAGTCGTCACTAAAGCAGCAAAAATGCATCTAAAAGTCACTTTTCTGCTTGATATGTTCCTGTTTACATACAGCTCGTTTTCTCTGTTTTCTTGCTCAGACCAGGTGTTATGGGTGAAAGTATGCTTTGTTCTATGGCGAATAACGCAAGAACGGTAAGAGGTAGAAACAAACTGTTTTTTTCAGAGTAAAGCAGAGAGGTGAATCTTTAATTTGGTGTTTACATCGTCTAAAAAATGAATATTCTGTGGCACTTCAAAGTTGGGTCAAATCACCTGAAATTGCTGGCAGAATGCACTTCTCAAATCTGAAAATGCCTGGCAGTCAGTGAGTTAATGATGACAGATTAGGGCCCTTTAATGATGACGGATTAGGGCCCTTTAATGATGACAGATAAGGGCCCTTTAATGAGGACTTGACACGAAAACCTTACACACTGCGGCTGTAAAAGACCTAATGTTTGTTGAGAATAAAAAGGCACTAACATATATTTACTAACTGATGATGACATATGTGAGACAAACCTCCTCTGGTTTCCCGGCACCGCTCTCCACAGTCTCAATTAAACCACCAGAATTTCTTCTCAGAGAAAGCCGGCCCCGCTTCGACTCTTTAGAAGGATCGGTCACCGGCTGCTTGTATACGTCCATCTGCAACAAAGACAAAAGTGAGTGGTGCGTGGAAGATATTCGATTTAGATTTAAATTCTTATGAAATGTATGTGAATTTTAAAGGAGCCGTTTGTAAACGTGTGGCCAAAAGTGGTACTGCAGCCTTTCCCACTCTCCCTGACTCAGGTTGCCAGATATGCAGACGAATCCAGCTGGGACCATAACAGCTGAATAGACAAGAGTTTTGTCAACAACAAATCTATAACCAACACCTTTTTCACAAAGATAGAAATCCTGGTTTTATTCCTTGTTTTGTCGTTAATGATTTGCTCCACGCGGTATTCTGGCAACCCGGATCACAGACTTTCTGATTGGTGAAACGGTGGAGGGCGGGACATCGAAATGAAAACAATAACAAGATTTAGGGGCTGGAAAAGTAATTTAGAAATTCAAATATCTCTGAACTACTTAACGCCTTTTGACAGATTAGGGCCCTTTAATGATGACGGATTTGGGCCCTTCAATGATGACAGATTAGGGCCCTTTAATGATGACAGATTAGGGCCCTTTAATGATGACAGATTAGGGCCCTTTAGTGATGACAGATTAGGGCCCTTTAATGATGACAGATTAGGGCCCTTTAATGATGACAGATTAGGGCCCTTTAGTGATGACAGATTAGGGCCCTTTAATGATGACAGATTAGGGCCCTTTAATGATGACAGATTAGGGCTCTTTAATGATGACAGATTAGGGCCCTTTAATGATGACAGATTAGGGCCCTTTAATGATGACAGATTAGGGCCCTTTAATGATGGCTTGACATGAAAATCTTACATATTGCTACTTTAACACCAAATAAACTTACTACCTTAACCTAACTTTCTAAAAAAAAATCATAGGTCATAATTATCGACCAAAAAATCCGAAGGTGAATAAAAGAGCATAAATAAGTGTGTGTCGTACGCCTTTGCCGTTGGTCTCCACGTAGCTGCACTTAAAGGCACAGCTCAGCGTGTCTCTGTTCAGCTTCTGGAGCAGAGCACTTCCACATCCGAAGAGAACGTTTTCAGCGCTCCAGCCTTCTTCACTCAACTTCTGGAGAATCTGCAAAACAAAATATTATTCATGAGTTTTCAGAGGCTTCCGTCTGTTTTGTCACGTACTGTAGTTCCCGCAGTGAAATATCAAACAGTATTTCATTTATTTGTAGTGTTTTAGGGATAAATCTACATTGGGGTTTGAGCCTGAAGGACATGGGTTCAAGCCCACTGCGAGACTGACTTCACACTTTGTCTGAAATCCTCACTGTTTTTATAGATTTTTACATAATGCACCTTAAATAGCTAAACCCCAGCAGGTGAAGTGCACCGGTCTCTGTGCTTAGAAGATTCTGACAACATTGTGATTATAATGACTTTATTAGAACACTACTAGAGCCCATTACATGCTGTTCTTTTAAATATGGCCAATACTTTCAAAATCCTGCAGCTTCCCCCTTCTCTAAGAATACAGCAGACATCTGTATATTTGGGTTTTTTGGATAATCTCTTTGATAAAACATGTGTCAGGAGTGAGTTAATAAACGGTGCAGCTTGCCTCATTAACAGAGCTGAGGTCTATACCATCTCCTTGGATGATGCGCAGGTAAGATGGTAGAACTTTGTATCCCATAGAGTTCTTAGAGCAACCAAAACAATCCTCCAGTATCTTGATGACCTGAGGGGAAAGAAGGCTTTTTAAAATATTTGAAAAGCAATGCAAAGAGAGCTATAATTATCTCAGTAGTTCATAAATAACCCAAATATTTTGTTAAGCACCTCAATAAGTGTCTCAGCGGGGTCTCCGGAGTCTGGCCGGATGACCAGACATGAGTCCTGGCTGCGCTCCATGACCCGCTCCTTCAGCTCGTCTCCCCAGATGTGTTTACAGGCGTTGAAGATGTCGTAGCTGTCGCTCACCACGGACACAGGTCCTGAGCTGAACTGATCCAGGACCTGCTCAAAGGCATCCTTCTCTCGACTCCTGCCCCAGGATATGATGGTACTAAAGAGAGGTCAAACACGAGGTGAAACTAACGTCAGTGTTTGTGTTCGTGCTCACTTCAGTTTCCTGTCAGTGCGTTGGGGTTAGATCACAGACCCTTCTGCTTCTCTTTGAATATGTTCTAATTAAATACTCTATTCCACTTTTCACATTTCATGCCACTGGCTGAAATACTGGCGGATGCTTGGACCGAGTCATCCAGTCCCGCCCACTCCTCTCTTCAGCTGACCCCCAGGGCACCCTGGGTAAGTGAACCCACAGGACTGTAGATGCTTTCTCTGAACTGGCACAGGAAAACTAGAAGCTAAAACATTTTACTTTAGAATGTTCTGGAAACAGCAGCGAGTCCTGACTGTCTCTGAGACTGTTGGTTTGTGTTACGTTTCTTGCTTATTTCTGCCTGAGATGTTGCTGCAGTTCAGCGTTCATGGTTTTACACTGGTCCAGACCAGAGCAGAGAGGGTTCATGGTTTTACACTGGTCCAGACCAGAGCAGAGAGGATTCATGGTTTTACACTGGTCCAGACCAGAGCAGAGAGGATTCATGGTTTTACACTGGTCCAGACCAGAGCAGAGAGGGTTCATGGTTTTACACTGGTCCAGACCAGAGCAGAGAGGATTCATGGTTTTACACTGGTCCAGACCAGAGCAGAGAGGGTTCATGGTTTTACACTGGTCCAGACCAGAGCAGAGAGGATTCATGGTTTTACACTGGTCCAGACCAGACCAGAGAGGATTCATGGTTTTACACTGGTCCAGACCAGACCAGAGAGGATTCATGGTTTTACACTGGTCCAGACCAGAGCAGAGAGGATTCATGGTTTTACACTGGTCCAGACCGGAGCAGAGAGGATTCATGGTTTTACACTGGTCCAGACCAGAGCAGAGAGGGTTCATGGTTTTACACTGGTCCAGACCAGAGCAGAGAGGATTCATGGTTTTACACTGGTCCAGACCAGACCAGAGAGGATTCATGGTTTTACACTGGTCCAGACCAGACCAGAGAGGATTCATGGTTTTACACTGGTCCAGACCGGAGCAGAGAGGATTCATGGTTTTACACTGGTCCAGACCAGAGCAGAGAGGATTCATGGTTTTACACTGGTCCAGACCAGAGCAGAGAGGGTTCATGGTTTTACACTGGTCCAGACCAGAGCAGAGAGGGTTCATGGTCCAAACCAAGTGGATCAAGAAGACATTTATAAAACAGTTCTCTTCTAGTTCTACTAATGGACAGAAGAGGGATTTCAATAAAAACATAATATATATCATTAAAATCTAATGTTTGGCTTCTGTCACACTTTTGTCCCCTTTAGTGTGAACAAGCTCATTTACATATTTTACTTTATTTTAAGCATCCAAATACGCTACACTTAAACAATAAGCATGAATTGTTTCATATGTAAAAGTCCAGAGTAAAAGTACCTGTGCTCTGCTGCTGGGTTGGAGAATCCAGCCATGGGACAGGAATAGTAGCGCTGTGCCATCAACAGTCCAGCCACTGTGTCTGTGCTGCAGAAGTTCACCAGGTGAGCAGCGCCCCCTAGAGCCGCAGACTAAAATAAGACCAAAAACAATCATGAATCTTTAACTATTTAACTGCATTAAATCTGCCAATGGGAAGCCCCTGACCTCCTGTGAAGAGACCCCCCTGTAGCCAAAGTCATGGAGCTTCTGGTTCAGGCCTTCCACACTCCCAGATGTGGCTCGGAGATGCTTGGCCAGGATCTTCTTGAACTCTCTAGAAACGGTGGCAACAGTGATGGGATACCACATCTGGACTAACATAGTCTGTGGAAGGAAGAAATAAGTTTTAATACAACTTGCTTTATACGTTACTTCCTGATTTTTAGGATTTGCTAGGACCAAAAATGAGGAAAGCTAAATAAAATGAGCTCCATGCGCACTTGAAGTTCTCACTGCAGGTTCTTGGCAGGACACGCTGGCTCCTGTTTCATGTTAAATAGAACGTAACAATATAAATCTGATGCAGGTGGATGATAACATCTGTGGGGCTCTCAATGAATGAAGAAATATGCAGCTTCAATTACGAGTCCCTATATTTTGTCAGATCAATTTTAATTTGGCTGAAGCCCCGGAAAACTGACGCAATGTTTAAAATCCTGTGGGAAACGTCCCTAAGCTCAAAAGTAGTGAAGTTATCATGTGTTTTCAAATAGGAATGGACCAGATGTAGCCTTAAAAGATAAATCCTAAATATCTTGACACAGGCAGATTTTCTAAAACGTCTACAATGGCTGAACTGAAAACCTTCAAAGTTCTAATTCCACGTTTGCGACTCGCCTGTTGTGGCAAAGAAGAGAACATCAGATGAAAAGGTGTTGTATAAGACTCAGACACAGCCGGTAAGTAAGGCTACGGCAGTCCAGTTTTGCTAATGCTAGTTTGTTAGTTGAAGCTAGCATGTGTCAAGTAAAGCGGCTAATCTCTCACAGACTTCAGACTGATGTGGTGTAATCGTTCACATTTCAAGCTTCGTCACAGACTGTGTTATTACAGATATTCATGTGCTGGGGGTTGGGTTTGGTGGAGGACGGGGGGAGTGGTTTTGACTCGGTGCTACTTGGATGCTAATGCTAAGCTAACATGAATCCTTTACTGCACCTTTAACCAAATACCACAATATCAAGATTTTTTTTTTTTTAATGATCAATTGTCAACTATCAATGTATTTAAAGATACAATAGAAGGATTTTCCCAATTTTTAGGAAAACTCTCTGGTCTTATTGAGCCTAACTACTCAAGCCAATGCAATTTCCTAGTTTGTGACTTCCTGTTACGCACATGGCAATAAAAAGGATTCTGATTCTGATGATTGGACGAGCACATATCACCAGAATGACTGACAATTGGGAGGAGCAGTGGTCTTAATGATCCACCCGGGAGTAGAACATCCACCTTTATACCTTTAGGTAAGTGTCCGACCTGCAGAGACCCTCAGTTTATGGAGTTAAACTGTGGAACTCCTTGAATGAAGAACTCAAAGTTTGTAAAAGTGTGTGGAAGTTCAAGAGAATGTATAAAGTAAAAATTTTGAATGAATATAATCTAGGTTAAAAAAGAGGATTGTATCTGACGAAATGTGAGACATTGAGGACTGTTGATGCGTTTGTGCAATTGGTGACTTGGGTTTTTGGTGTTTGGGGTTTAAATTGGGAAATTCAATTTGCTTTCCTTATTTTATTTTATTGTTTTTGTACAAAGGACAGGATATACAAGATTTATCTTCTTTCTGTTCCTTTTGTTCAGGTAAAAGCATGTATGAATGTGTCAACTGCAAACTGATTATGAAATTACATGAACAATAAACATAAACAAACAAACAAACAAACGTAAATACCTCGATATAGTTGGTGAGCCAGAAGAAGCTGGGGTCTGTGTTTTCCACCGTGAACAGCACATTGCCTCTGGGGATGATCCGTCCTTCAGGCACTGCTTTTATACGGATTGGTAAACGTCCATCATGTTTCTGTCAACACCAAGAGGATGTCAACACACAACACACAACACACTTTCTAAAGGGACATTATTGACTCGATTTTAGATGTTAAACCTCAAGGATCTTTCTCCATCCATCCTCATCGAAGACATTCTGCTTAAAGTGCATCTGGTAAAAGATCTTAGCTTCCTGGATTTTCTCTTCTGTCACGACTCGGCCTGTAATGAAACTCAGAGTATTAGAGTAAAGTAAAGTATGTGGGAGGTTTGGATACACACCTGTTAGGTATTTCTTCAGCAAATACTGCAGACCAAAAAAGACTACTTCATTGAACTGGGAGCCCTTCTTCCGCCGACACTCAAAGTAGGAGTAGATTTTGCTGACATCTGGAGGATACTGTTTGTAATGTGTGATCTGAAACATAATAAATATACTTATTACTCACTTAGTATTACACAACAGTGACACAAAACTTCATGATGTAGATGTTTCATGTTTTACAATCCTTTTCAGAAAGGATTTTCTTTTCTTTTTTTTAAATCCCGCCGACCCTTCAGTGACTGAGGAAGAGGTGTCTTGTCCAGGGACCCAACAGCAGCAGACATCAACGGACAATGACATGGGTGGGGGATTGAACCCACAACCAGTTCAACGACCAATGTCATCCAGGATGAGTCCAGAGGGAGTCCAGAGTGAGTCCATGGTGAGTCCAGAGTGGGTTCATGGTGAGTCCATGGTGAGTCCAGGGTGAGTCCAGGGTGAGTCCAGGGTGAGTCCAGGGTGAGTCCAGAGTGAGTTCAGGGTGAGTTCAGGGTGAGTCCAGAGTGAGTCCAGGGTGAGTCCAGAGTGAGTCCAGGGTGAGTCCAGGGTGAGTCCATGGTGAGTCCAGAGTGAGTCCATGGTGTGTCCAGAGTGAGTCCAGGGTGAGTCCAGAGTGAGTCCATGGTGAGTCCAGAGTGAGTCCAGGGTGAGTCCAGAGTGAGTCCCAGAGTGAGTCCATGGTGAGTCCAGAGTGAGTCCATGGTGAGTCCAGAGTGAGTCCAGGGTGAGTCCAGAGTGAGTCCATGGTGTGTCCAGAGTGAGTCCAGGGTGAGTCCAGGGTGAGTCCATGGTGTGTCCAGAGTGAGTCCAGAGTGAGTCCAGAGTGAGTCCAGGGTGAGTCCAGGGTGAGTCCATGGTGAGTCCAGAGTGAGTCCAGAGTGAGTCCAGAGTGAGTCCAGGGTGAGTCCATGGTGAGTCCAGAGTGAGTCCAGGGTGAGTCCAGAGTGAGTCCAGAGTGAGTCCAGAGTGAGTCCAGAGTGAGTCCAGGGTGAGTCCAGGGTGAGTTCAGGGTGAGTCCAGGGTGAGTCCAGGGTGAGTCCAGAGTGAGTCCAGAGTGAGTCCAGGGTGAGTCCATGGTGAGTCCAGAGTGAGTCCAGAGTGAGTCCAGGGTGAGTCCATGGTGAGTCCAGAGTGAGTCCAGGGTGAGTCCAGAGTGAGTCCAGAGTGAGTCCAGAGTGAGTCCAGACTGAGTCCAGGGTGAGTCCAGGGTGAGTTCAGGGTGAGTCCAGGGTGAGTCCAGAGTGAGTCCAGAGTGAGTCCAGAGTGAGTCCATGGTGAGTCCAGAGTGAGTCCATGGTGTGTCCAGAGTCCAGAGTGAGTCCAGAGTGAGTCCATGGTGAGTCCAGAGTGAGTCCAGAGTGAGTCCATGGTGAGTCCAGAGTGAGTCCATGGTGAGTCCAGAGTGAGTCCAGAGTGAGTCCATGGTGTGTCCAGAGTGAGTCCAGAGTGAGTCCAGAGTGAGTCCAGAGTGAGTCCAGGGTGAGTCCATGGTGAGTCCAGAGTGAGTCCAGAGTGAGTTCATGGTGAGTCCAGAGTGAGTCCAGAGTGAGTTCATGGTGAGTCCAGAGTGAGTCCAGAGTGAGTCCAGAGTGAGTTCATGGTGAGTCCAGAGTGAGTTCATGGTGAGTCCAGAGTGAGTCCAGGGTGAGTCCATGGTGAGTCCAGAGTGAGTCCAGGGTGAGTCCAGGTCTCCCCTGTCTGATAGTGGGAGACTGTCTGTGGAAAAGGAGGCTTCGGTCTTTGAGTTCTGTTATTGTGACCGTTATGTTGAAAATAAAATCCTTTTTTGGCTTAAAGCTAATCCACGCCTAAATACAAACCTTAGGAATGCTCTAATCATGATTAGTACTTGTTAAATAATCAGACTTCTGTTCTTAGGGTTAGCACTTTAAAACTTTAAACAACTGCACTAGTAAGTCTCATTTCATTTCAGAAAATCTACAAAAATCAACATGAATGATTATTATATGGACACAAAAACAATAGACAAACTTGGGCGGCACAGTGGCTGAGTGGTTAGCGCTCTCGCTTCTCAGCAAGAAGGTTCAAATCAGGGCCTCTCTGAGTGGAGTTTGCATGTTCTCCCTGTGTCTGCGTAGGTTTCCTCCGGGTGCTCCGGTTTCCCCTACCACTAAAAACATGTACAATAGGTCTGTGCCTCCTGTACCAGTGTTTCCCACACATAGACTAATCTGTGGCGCACCGCCACAGATTAGAGACCGCCCGCCACAAATTGCGTTTCGTATTATTATATATATATTTTTTTTGTTACGCTATTTAAAACATGCATCGTCTAGTGCCGCCGCAGCGGTCAATTTGACAGCGGGGAGGGGGGTTTAAAATGTGGCGGCCCTTCGTAACTCTCACTCAAGCTACGCGTCTCTCCCACATACAGAGACCTACACACACACAGCCCCTCCCCTTCGTGCACACCGCGTGTCTCCGTCTCCATCAGCGATCATCGCTGTAAGCAGCTGTGTCTATTAATTTACCGCGGTAAAGTGGCCCGCATCTTTCAGCTCTATGAACATGCGGCCCGCATCGGGGAAAAGACGGTGCGCGTTTTGTTGAGAACTTACGGTAACAGCGGAACGTCCTTTCGGAGTCACCCATTTTTATCGAACAGAAAGCGCGCTGGGGTCAGGGAGACACGTTTTTGTGATTAAAACCTTATAGAGATGCCACCCGGCTCACATAGCACCAGCCCCCTACGATTCCTCCGGCAGGCTGTGAGTCCTCAGGAGGATAGCCACTCTATTGTTTACATATATAAAGTACACAATTTGGTCCGCTGTGCAATTTTCAAGTATTGTAACTATTTACTGGAATAAGGTGTGCGACTAATTTCACTTGACTCATGACCTTATTATTGCCCTCTGCCACTGTACCAAAGACCAGAAACTTTTACTGTAGAAATATTGAGAAATATTGAGGTAAAGTAGCCATTTTGGTCCAAAATACCTCCAAAATAGTCAAAACATGTCACTTTTGATCTACTGTAACTTTTTACTGTAAAAAGGTGTGCGACTAATTTCACTGGATTCATGACCTCAAGATTGTCCTCTACCACTGTACCAAAGACCAGACACTTTTACTGTAGAAATATTGAGAAATATTGATTTAAAGTAGCCATTTTGGTCCAAAATAGCCTAAAAATGGTCAAAACATGTCACATTTGATCTACTGTAACTTTTCACTGTAAAAAGGTGTGCAACTGATTTCACTGGATTCATGACCTCAACATTGCCTTCTACCACTGTACCAAAGACCAGACACTTTTACTGTAGAAATATTGAGAAATATTGAGGTAAAGTAGCCATTTTGGTCCAAAATACCTCCAAAATAGTCAAAACATGTCACTTTTGATCTACTGTAACTTTTTACTGTAAAAAGGTGTGCGACTAATTTCACTGGATTCACGACCTCATGATTGCCCTCTACCACTGTACCAAAGACCAGAAACTTTTACTGTAGAAATATTGATTGATACTTACAAACGGTAAACAATAAACAAAAACATGAATTATTGTGCACGAAATTCCTGTGAGTAATTTATCATTTGTGGTTTGAGCATAGACTATAAATAATAAGGTTTGAGGTATTTTCTTATTTCATCAACTTGGAGAAACCGCAGAATTTAGAGAAACCCAAGAGACGCGCTTTGACACAGGAAGCAGCTTGACGTCAACAGCGGTCGCTCCTTCAAAATAAAATTAAAAAATAAACTCAGGAGAGAGATTTGTTTCGAGAATTTTACAGAATAACGGTGAAATACAGACTGGCGTTATCACTGTAAGGTCATAGCTCATAATAGACACAAAAATATTCATGATCACATCCCGCTCGCTGATTGTTCAGGATTTAATATTTTCAGTCTATCATCAAGATTTCATAAATACAGTCTAAAGTCAGGATCTCTCTGTGCACGGTGTTGGTCTCGTGCTGACGCAGATTTATTCTCCTAGTACTATAAGAAAAAGTCATACAATTACGAGAATAAAGTCCTATTTGTTTTCTGACTTGGTTCTCTTAATATTTCAAGTTTATTTTCATAACTTTCCGACTTCTGGGACAAAGGGTTAATCATTAATGAATAATTATGTTTTATTATTAGGCCTATTATGAGCTATGGCCACGTGTAATACATTCTCTCTGTATTTCATTTTAATTCGCTAAATGTATCGTCCATCTCATAGACTGTAAATATTAGATCTTAACTTCTTCCCTCTCCTTTTCGAGCTGACTATTTGTTAATAAAATAAAACATACTGTAAATGTATTGTGTTGATTTTTTTCCTGTTCTGTTGTTGTTCTTTGTTCTTGTCTGCCATGACTCGCAAAAGTATTCATTCATTCATTCATCTTAGCGATCGCTTCATCTTATTTTGAAAGCGCTGCTGACGTCAGGCCGCTTCCTTTGTCAAAGCGCGGAAGTTTTTATTTATTTAATTTAATCGAATATATTTTATTATAGAGTCAAAAATAATACAAACAAAACAGGCGCCTTGAAATATAAATAACGATCATTTTACACAAATCCACAAGAGAAAAACTAAAACTAAACCAAATAATAAAATCCCCAAAACCACGAGTAATTCCATTTTTAATAACTGACAAATATGAACATGAATTATATGTCGTGCACGGACCCACCCGGAAGTAGGTAATAGCAGGGGAACAGGATACAAAAGTAAATAGTTACTTTAATACTTTTTCGTGTGAAGTAACTGAGTAGTTTGACTCACTACACAAATACAACTATCGTCACTTCCATCATGAGCATAAAACATCTGTAATGACGTCCTACATCTATCATTAAAACTACAACTTATAGGAGCCAAACGCAATTTTTTTCTATAAACACATTATTTATATATTTTACACACAGTTGTCGCTCTGAAACATTATTGTCACTGTGTTATGACGCGTTTTGTTTTTTTCCAACACGAAAGTAAACAAAAACAACTTATATACAGTAATAACTCTGTGTCTACTGCTCCTGCAGAATGTCACTGCACAATGTCACTTTACTTACTTCTTATCTTGCACTATATGTACAGTACATAACTCTGCACTACTACATATATACACATTTTATTTTGAAAGACTGGTATCGAAGTATTTACAGAGTTTACAGAGAGTTAAGTAATATAGTTACTACTTTTTTGTATATATTGTGTGTGCTCCCTGTGTGCGCTACTGTCCTGTCTGTGCGCTGCAACAACGACATTTCCCCACTGTGGGACGAATAAAGAAACCCTTATCTTATCTTATCTATGTATTAGTGCTATATGACATGATACAAACGTTGAGTAACTTTCCCAACACGGGTTAAAATGTTAAATATAAAACCTCAGCAAATCTGTAGTTGTAAAATCACGCAATAACACCGTGCAATTCTGAAGAAATGAAAACGAAAGTAAGAGACGGTTGGGTTTATGTGGGCTGCTCAGTTCAGAATATGACTCAATACACTTCACATACATATTTAACTACAGAAAAGTGTATTTATATGAAGTGACATTCAGAATTAGATAGAGCTTTGACCTCTGTCTTACTGGGTCTGACACAGTGACATGTAAACCCAACGCCTCGTGCAGCACACAGAAGACCCTGGTTCGAGACCCGCGACCCTGAGTCCAGACCCCCCCCCAGCAGCCCTCACCTTGTACGAATCTGTAGCAAGCAAGAAATTGAAATCATGTGCTGCCATTGTTGTTGTGGCTGCATGCACTCCCAGCAGCAGCAGCAGCAGCAGCAGCAGCGGCGGCAGCAGCAGCAGCAGCGGTGGGTCTCTCCTGGACGCGTTGGCTCGGTCCGGATGAGATCATGAGGCAACAACACAATCTACACTTCCACCTCTCTGCAGTGCATTCTGGGGTTGCAGCAAATGGTCAAAGCCCTTCTCGCTGGAGCTTGAGGTAACGCAGGCACAGGGCTATGGGGCTATGGGGCTATGGGGCTTTGGGGGCGGGCTTATCCAGTAGTAGTAGCAGCATTGGTGTGTGTGAGGGGGATGGATCTGTAAAGGGGGGAGGGTAGATCCATGGGGGGGGGGACTAATTTTGTTTTCCCGTTTTTTTTATTGTTTAGGTACATAGTTGTGACTGCCAGCCGTTTTTGATGATTTCACTGATTGTTAAGACCCACAGAATATGATTTCCTATGAATATGTGAAATTTGAAACCAGATTCTGAAATTCTGAAACTCTGAAATGTCTACTTTCATCAGCAAAAGTAAGTTTATTTTTCTATTATTATTGTCCTGTAATCCCCAGTCAAATAGAGGGCAAATACGTCAATGGCTGTCAATGAGATAAAGGAGAATTTTTGTATCAGCAGAATGATTGACATTTGGGAGGACCAATAGTCTTGATGATCCACCCGGAAGTAGAAAATACCTTTAAGTAAAAGACAAGTATATAATCAATTTTGGTGAAAAAAAAAAGTATTGAAATCATGAAAGTAAATCAATCAATCCACCTTTTTTTTTTTACACACGTTATTTTTACAATCACAGAAAGCATGAAAAAAACAGAATGTAAACTGACCTTGTATAATGACTGTATTATTCTGTTGTCAATAAACATATACATGAAAAACAAATGAGGAATATACAAAACATAAATGAAAATCTTACAGTAAACAATATTTT